AGCCCATTCCCATGTTCGATTTCACTGAAAGAGCCCCGAGCGTTTCACGAGCCGAGATGTCCGCGCAGCGGGGCCGTTGTGGACCGCCCGTCTGATTGTGTCATCACGAACCGGATGGCGTGCTCGATCTCACGGCTTGGTGGCACGATGTAGTTGATGGCGTGCTTGATTCAACGATAGAAAATCATCTTATTTGCTGCCTCGAGATTAGCATCGGGTCACTCAGTGATCAGCTTGTTCCGAAATGCAAAGGATCCTCCCGCTTTAGCCGTTCGCTGTGGGCCATTTCTGACCTGCCTCATTGATGATGGAGTCAGGTTGCTGCATGGCTCAGATATATAACATGGACGGCTGGTCTTTTTAGAAAAGCTCTTCCACGCCTTCTCAAATTTGAATGTAAAACCTCAGGGTATAAATTCCATATTTTCCAGAGAAAAATGTCTGAGAAAGAGGTCTCTGCCGTGCCTGACAGCGAAAAGGAGGTCGCTGTCTTCCCTGAGAAAGAGGCTGTGTCTCCTGAAAGTGACGATCATGCATCTGTCAATAACGAGAAAGTAACTACCTCCCCAGTGCCAAAGGTTCCAACAGCACCAGTATCCGGTGCCGATGCCGCCCTGGAGCTCCTGAAGGAGACGGGTGGTGTCTTGCAACCCTTCGACGAAGCCCGGGAAAAGCGACTTGTCAGGCGAATCGATAAACACATCATGCCCCTCATCTGCATCGTCTATTTCCTGCAGTACATTGACAAGACGTCTATCTCATACGGCAGCGTAACTGGCCTGCAGGAAGCCACAGGGCTGGTCGGAAACCAGTTCAACTGGGTCGCGTCCATCTTCTTCTTTGGCCAGCTTGCCTTCGAATTCCCTACTATCCGCCTCCTCCAATTGTTTCCCTTGGCTAAGTACGTCTCATTGAATGTAACATTATGGGGTGTTACTTTGGCTTGTCTCTCAGCCTGCAAGAATTACGCCGGTCTTCTTGCATGTCGCTTCTTCCTCGGCGCCTTCGAGGCCGCCATCATTCCAGCGTGGGTTCTCTTCACCTCGCAGTGGTATAATAAGAGCGAGCAGGCGTTTCGCGTGGGGATTTGGTTTTCGGTGTGCGGCACCGCACAAATGTTTGGAGGATTCTTTGCGTACGGCGTGGCAACGCATGTTGGCAGTGACCCGAATGCGCTTCTGGACGGGTGGCAGGTTATCTTTCTCTTCCTTGGTCTATTCACGGTTCTTGTTGGTATCGCGTTTTACTTTCTGATTCCAGATTCACCCGCGACGGCCAAGTTTCTCTCGACGGAGGAAAAGGGGGCACATCTCCATCGGATTCGAGGAAATGAGCAGGGCATTGGTTCCCCGACATTCAAGCTAGCGCAGGTGCGTGAGGCGTTTACGGACCCTATGACCTGGCTGTACTGTTTCTGGGTCTTTGCCGCCAATATTCCAAACTCTACTGCTACTAGTTTCGGCAATATTCTTGTCAAAGGAATGGGTTATACCAGCAAAGAGTCGTTGTTATTGGTCACCCCCCTCGGGGCATATGAGATGGTGCTTCTCGTTGGTCTGACATGGCTGGCAATGAAGACTCATCAAAGATTGTATTGGTGCGTGGCGGGTCATATTCCTGCCATTGTTGGTGCAATTCTCATGGCAACTACGGACAAGACAGCTGCTCTCATTGGATACTACTTGACTGGAGGTAAGACACACTCATGCAGGCAAACCACGCTGGATGAAGCTAATTCTGAACTCATAGGAATCCCTATCGGATGGACCACCATCCTGGGCATGAAGAGCTCAAATGTAGCCGGCTCAACCAAGAAAGTGACCGTCACGTGTAAGTACTCTCTTTTAGGCTACAGACCAGACCATTGCCGTATTCATTGACTAAATTTGGAGTACAGGTCTGGAAACTATCGCCTACACAGTTGGGAACATCATATCTCCTCAGACATTCCAGCCACGTGACGCCCCTCAATACCTTCCTGCTAAGATCTCTATTTGCATAATCTATTTCCTCTGCACGGTGGATCTTCTTGTCATGCGCTGGGTCTTAAGTAGGCGGAACGAGCAAAGGGACCAAGAAAAGGAGGCACAGGGTGACGCCCATGTAGTGCAGGAAAATCATGAGTTTCTGGATCTCACAGATCTTGAGAACAAAGAATTCCGATATGAACTTTAGAATGATACCATTCATGACACGAAATAGATACCTTGGGCTAGATTTTCAAAAAGAAAACTAAAAGAAAACTAAAAGAAAAAAAAACCAAGAAAAAAATAAATCGAGAGAAAGAAAGAAGGAATGACAGAAGGCTGTCAGTTATACGGATTATCCCTGCTTCATACTCATAATAGTATCCTGTATTGTGGCAAAGTCAGTTATACGGATTATCCCTGCTTCATACTCATAATAGTATCCTGTATTGTGGCAAAGTCAAATTCCTTGAGCATCTCATCCCAGAGCTTTTCTTGAACCTCCTCTCTTTTGGAATTATAATAAAACTTCCCATATCTTGATTCTATGTCAGCACGCGCTCTTGTTCACTTTCTAGACGGGGGTGAGAAAGCGTACGGATAAATGCTCCAATCCATGATGAAGGATCCATGGGACTCTTTTCCCCTGGTTACTATCGCATCAATATATGCGCTTGCGGCATCTTCAAGGGTCCGGCCAGCAATAGCCCTCAACCAATTGAAGCCGATCTGTGTGGACATGCTGGCGCCCTCGAGGATATTTGTACCGCTGGTCAATCCGGGATCTACCAAATTGATGACGACATCATCGGCGCTCACAAACCGGGACAGCTTGTCAACGAAAAGATGGGCCAGGAATTCAGTATTGGTGTACTGCCCCATGGGGTCAAAGTCCTCTTCGACATCGAATGCAGGTAAAATGCGTTCGGCTTTGTGCTGTGGAAATTCGGCATGCATGGCTGTTCCGGAGTTGACAATGACCAAACGGCTAGGTCTCCCAGGCGGATCCTTTGACTTGAGGACCGGCAACAGGAGCATTGATAAAAACATGGTAGAAAGGAAATTGACTTGGAAGACCATCTCATGGCCGGTCTTTTCGCAAAGTTTGAAGTAACCAAAGGCCACGCCCGCATTGAGGATGGTAAAATCGATTCGCGACAGCTGTGTTGCGCAGCGGGCAACAAAATCGTGGATAGACTGATAAGAGGTCAGATCAAGAACCCAACCATCTATTTTCGCATTTGGGTTCCTCTTCCTAAAAACGTCCACAGTGAAATCGGCCTCGGCTTGCGTCAGGGCGGTAATGATAAGATGGCTGATCTCTAAGTCAAGGAGCATTTTTGCGCACGCATGCCCGATTCCAGAGCTAGCGCCTGTGATGATTCCCGTCTGCCCATAAAGAGACGTCCCGGGAGGCAGGTCTCTGGATTCCTTGCAGAACTGAGATGAGAAGAATAGGCCACCAGAGCTCTTGGGAAGCTGGGGAAGCTTGGCAGACTCGCTTCTAAACTCGTCTTGAGCTTGACTCATAGTGAAGCCCCTGTTAATCAAGGTGAACCTTGGATAAGTATAGAAGGTTTATTTATATTAGTGAATGTAAGCTCGTCTTGTCGTCGAAAGCGGTAGGAAGGAGGATACAGAGCCAGTACGGCAACATTTATACAAGTGCAGAAAGAAGAAATAAAAAGCAAGGGAAATGGATATGAACCGTCATCACTTTAATACTGTCGGGGGTTGGATTTGGGCGAGCGCAAGCCAGACCAATTCGAGAATGACATGAGGCGATTTTTTATAGCTTTGGGTAAGGCTTGCGCAACAAGCCAACTTTCCATCTTCATCAAGCCGCCGGGCGGTTTCTTATTTATTGATGCTACTCAGCAATTTTTTTTTTAGTTCAACAACCACTGGCATACCGAAGCATGTGTATTGGCCACGTACAACACGAGCATGTCTGTTCATGTTTAAGTATTCACTACCCTATAGCCTCGCGCCAACTTTTCTCAATTGCTCTTGATGGGGGAATGTGGCGTGTTGGATGCGATAGTCAATGGGAACCAGAAGTGCAAAATTAATTTTAAATGTTCATTGTGTTAGAGATCGGAACATAGCTGCCATATTATTGACTTTTGAGTATCACATCAGTATTATTTACGTTGGAGCAAGAGGCCGACAACAGCTCCATCACGGCGGAAGTAAAGGGAGGAAGGAACAGACTGCGAAGAAAAGAGACCGGAAATCAGTTTCTTCAACAAGCTGAGAAGTTTTATTTGTTTTTTCCAAAGAGCTATTTCAATGTCAAGACAGTGTGGTGGTCGTTGTTCAAATGCTGATACAGGTTCTATTTGAAGCTTACGGTGACGTGGCTTATCAGAGTTTTGGTACCTTCACTGATGTTTCGCGCTGCTTTACCGGCAAGATAAGAAAGCAGTGACTTGTGAGCGTTAAGATACTTGATGGTACTTAGCAAGAGTACTGAGTGGGCGCAAAATCAGTGAGTCATCCGAGTCTATATGTATCTAAAAGTACCTGCATTCAGTATCCACCTGCAGGCTCGTGCTTGGAGTTGATTGGCCCGCTCGCCAAACTGACCGGAACCGAGACCGGAACCGAGAAATTCCGACCGTCGTGCAATTTGACCCAAGACGAAGACACAGAGCCAGGCAGGTCGATCCCAACGAAATCGACATCCTATTCGCTTCATTAGCCCTGTCATCTTCCCACCTGATTTCCACTCCCCGGCTCATCGAGTTCCCAGACCCAGCATGTAGGGCTGAGCTGTCAGGGAGTCCGGCGCGGCCAGACGTCCCACGCGAATCCGTACCTTTAATGCGTTCAAGAATAGACGAACATGTCGCCCGTCAACCCCTTAGCAACTACCCACTTCTCTAACGTATGCCGACGTGCCGGTCCTGGAGATTTCGCTGGAAGGACGCTGTGGGTAGTACAAGCATCCTCTTTGTCTGGTTCTCGCGTCATAACGAAACGGGCATCTTGCTTCGACGACGACCAGCCACCCGCATCATCGTCACCACAATGGCGTTCAATGCTCCCGAGCCTTTAGCCGAGCTTGATGGCGGCCCTGTTGCCTCCCCGAGCCCTCAGGCGCCCTATCCTCCCGCCCATGTATCCTCCTGGTCCAGCGACTTAATCCCAGTTGCCTCAGAACACCAGGCGATATCCCGCCGACCAGTTCCGAATGCCAATCTCGCACAGCAATACGCCTATGAGCCCGGCTCCCACCACGATAGCTCGTCCTCACGATCTTCAGAATATGCCGGCATCCCGCGCTTAGACTACAAGCTATACTCCCCGCCACTCTTCGAGCTGTCCCCCGATGGCATCACTATCTCAACCCGAACGTCCAGCAACCTCGTCGAGAATGCCGCCGGGCTGGCAGCCTTCTTGCGTGCCCAGGCCTCCGTGCCGCCCAAGCCGCAGATACATGTCAAAGCCTCCCGCCCTACCAAGACCGACTTCGACATCAAGCTCAACCTGATGAGTCTCCTCGTGCCCGAGGACGGACGCATGCGAACGAACTACATACGTTGTGTGAGCGAGGGTGAACTGGCTTTTCGGGGCGGCCACCAGCCCGTCGTGATGCCTCTTGTGGGCGACGGCGGGTTGGAGGAGTGGTGCAGACTCTTTGTGGCCGATCCTGCCGAGTCCAAGAGCTTCGTTCTCACCAGGACCGTGGCACATCTCGACACCATGTTCATCGAGGGCCAGCTGCGGAGCCTGATCTCTTCCATTGGGTACAAGGGGAACCTGAGCATTACGTTCCCCACGACACACGCGCGCGTTGTTGTCCGCAGTGCCGACAAGGTGCACAAGGTTGTGACGAGCTTCAAGACCATGTTCAAGCCTAAAAGCAAGTACGAAGTGGCGCAAGCAATATGGCCATTTGCGACGGCACCGATGGGGGCCGAGGGGCGGCAATTCACGGTCCAGAGCGAGGAGAGTTGGTTCAGAGAGTGGCGGGATCCCATCAAGTATGCAATTGCGACGAAGCGACATGGATGGGTGACAAACGAGGATAAACTAGAGGTGTTGATGGAGGGCAAGGGCAAGGGCGTACAGCCTGTTGATTGGGACATGGAATAATGGCTGTTCACTTAATAGTGTCCAAATTCAACAAACACAGCGGCTATTCCGCCAATTTTTGTTGTGCCCGCGCGTTCATCATTCGGACAAGTGGTAGCGAGGTTCATCTTGTTTATTTATCTATTCGTCTGGACGCTACATAACTGAGTGATCTACCGCAAACGGCGCTATGCAAAAGGCTCTTTGATTATTGGATCTCACCCTCCTTCACCAATCTGCGGATGGTGTCGATGCTGCCTTCAACCGCTATCTTGGAAAGCTGCGCCTTCATGTTAGCCCATCCTCACTCAATTGCTCACAAGACACATCTGGACAATCTCACCTTTTCATATTTCTCGCGCAATTGTGTTTCTTCCTCGCTTCCCGCGGCAATGTCAGGGTGACGCCACTCAAATGCATATGTCATCTGCAGACTTCCATCTGGGCCCTTTGAGACAATGTTGGAGATGTTGCTCCCATCTTCTTGTCTGAAATCGACACGGCTCGGGGCCAAGTGTACGCAGACTTCCCGGACGGGCTTTGGGTTGCCCTTGAAGGTGGCCTCGCGGATCGTCGTGTCGCCGTCTTCGCTGATGACCTTGCAGTCTACGATCACGGGGACAAACTCGTAGGCCCGTCTGACCTTGCGCTTGAGGCCTGTCCAGACTTGAGCCTCTGTGAGGACGGGGGAGGCCCCGGATGGGTTGATTGGTGCTGTGTAGGCGAGGTTGATGACGGCCATTGTGTAGGTATTGTGAGTGGGTTGCTCTTCAATTGTGATTGGTGTCGGATACTGATGTTGTGATTTGTCGTAGAAGAGGAAGACGGCCATCAATCGCCCAGCGGTTTATATCAATTGCTCGCCTTTCATCGCGCAGCGAGATGTGGCGAGCCGGCCAGCGACCTGGTTGATCCTGGCAGCATCGTGACCCCTTGCCTCTTACAAATGGGGGGACTGTGGATTCTTCGGTGACCGAAATCTCTCCGCACCATGGAGTTTGACCTTATTTTTCTCAATCCTTGTGGGTCCTCAACTCATCAGGCTGGCGACCCTTGTGATGGTCTCTTGGCATCGCGCCATGACTCTCAACCGCGATAGTACCTACTGGATCAAGCTATTGGTTGTTTCCTGATGCCGAATTCTTCCTTCTGTCCCGTAAGTGACTGCCGGCGTTGCATGTCCAAGTCTGGCCCGTTCCGAGACTCGACCTCCCTTGGTCAGTCAACCTTCCTTGGCTGCTTAGCTTTGTATCACTGCCCTGTGGTCTAGACAATGCGACGATTGATTGTAATGGTAATGCGTTGGAGAATCATAGGCTGGTCTTGGATTACAATGAGACGCAACGACCTGCCACCGTGGGAGGACTATGTCTTGGATCGCAACAGTCAAACCGGTCCATGGGGTGTTGCACCACCGTTACAGCCACTGCCCCGCTGCCTCGTACGCCGTTTGTTCGCAACTATGGCACTGGCGATGATCTAATGAGGTTAGAGTATCTCCATCGCTGGTTGTTATTAGGATTGGTTGCTTCCCTGAAGGAAACCTACGGAAACACAACTTCGTCCGAAGCCTCGTCCACCAGCATGGGATCTAACTAGAGGATTTTCTCGTCAAACAGATCATGCCTTTCGGGATGATTGCACCAATACACATGTACGAGAGGCTACGTCAAATTCAGTCACGAAAAAGCCCACGGAAATGTATAGGGCGAAGACAAGAGCTGTTCTTCGTCACCCGCTGGGTTTTGTAATCAATGTCTTGCTTGAGATCAAATGGTCTCGATCTAGACTCAGCACACACCGCAGATACTGACTGCTTTAAACGCCAATGAAGGCCCTGATCTCCGGAAGTAGCTGCCTATAAGCGATTCCGTTGGGGGGCTCCATGCTGAACATGTAGTTCCCCCACCATGGGCCTGCTGACCACCAGACCCAGCCAGTCCAAACATCCGAGTTATCCTTCAGATACTGCAGCATGCCCCTGATAGCAATCTTACAGTTCCTATTGTTGCCCGCGGCTACCTCCCCGATGACTCCCTTCTTGCCGTTCTTGCGAAGCCACTGGGTAGCGGCGTTGAGACGGTCCCTGCCCACTGTGGGGGATTGGCAGATGCTGCTTGTTCCAGAGCTATCCTTGTCGAGATACTGATGCATCTCGTAGATAGTGAGGTTCGATGGGTCAGTTAGGTTCAGAAGGCTTGCCCCGTTGCCGCTCGAAACCCACGAGTGGGCTCCGCTCCAGGAGTTGCCCTCGACCCAGATATACTGGGTCCTTGCACCAGCGGCTCGAATGGCATTGATGGCTGCTTGGTTCAGGTCTCGCACGAGCTCGTTTCTCATCCCGTAAAACTCGTTGTTGGTGTCAAAGATGACGAGCGGGTTGTTCTTGAAACGGCCAGCGACAGTGGTCCACCATGCTCCGAAGCCCGTCACATTCGTGATCACCTTGCCGTAGTAGCGGCCGTAGTTATGAGGGTCGACGACTGCATACAGGCCTCTGTGTTTGCGCGTTAGAAATGAGCTAAGAAAGCTCTCTTGGGTGATTGACACATACTTGCCAGTGATATGATTGACAATCTTCTGGAGGCCATCAAAATATGTCTCGTTGATGGGGCCGCTTAGATTCTTCGGAATGAGCCGCTCCATCTTGAATGGAATCCGAAAGGTGTTCATGCCAGTCGCAGCAAGCGTCTAAGAAGCACACTGCATCAGCTTTCGTCCTTTTGATACCGGCCGCGAACAACCAAACATGGTCACTTACATCAATTGACTCGTTCTTTGGCCAGATGTAGTTAATACCCAGCCGCCCGGGGAGGACACTGTCTCCGAACTCGGCACCAGCTTCATTGGACCCAGTCCAGGTGAAGTTCTTGGCCGATGCCACCTGAAGCGAGGCAGCAACGAAGAGAAGGATCGACTTGAAATGCATATTTGCTGGTTCTAAATTCTGACTTCAAAATCGCTCAAGAATGAAGGAACAAGAATCAACTGCCTTCAGTCCATTGGTGTCCATTCTTATACTTCTTGGGCCTGCTGTATATCTTGTGTATCCTGTATATCAAAGATTCTTGGACTCTGACCTTTCACAGCAGATTCAATGTCTAGCAAAGGTCAGAGTCTAGGCCACAATATGCAAATGTGCACAGATCAGACAATGGGCGGTTGTGTGAGCTGAAAACAAGCAATTGCAGCTGAAAGGTATGATACAAAGCTTCAAGGAACGTGAGAATTGAGTGGTCGTTTGACGTTCTGGACCGGGCCTCTCCAGATGGCCTCGCGTGGTGGCAGAGCGCTGTGTCGCACTATGGCACACCATCGACGAACCTACATGACACCCGTTGGCGTTTGACGGCTGCCTGGGAAAATGCTCACTAACTCATTCTTAGAACCCTCTATAGCTAGCCACTTAGCTGTACCTACCTGTATGTAGCCGTAGCTAGACGCCCTTGGCCCTCCGAGGGACGAACCGGCTTGAAATAATGCCATCATCGTCATAATCATCATCATCACGCACCATGGCGTACTACCGTTGGCAAGCGTCCCACAATCTATATTAATTGAGATCTATCACTCAATTGAGGGTCGGATAGGACGGCTATGCTGCTCCCAGCGCTGATTCCCGTCTTTACAAATCTATCACCTTTTTCAACGTTGTATATTGACTGACTCTGGATGAAACTTCGTCATACCGAACCTGTAACCGGAGTGTGTTGTCTCCATACGGTCTAGAACCTGGGGTTTCTTGATACGTGTCTCAAACCTCAAACCTTGCAGGGCCTAGAAGCTCGACGGTGCATCAGCAGTTGGGACTTTCGACTAGAAAAATGGGTTCATTTATTAACAATCTTGTTTCACTACCCAATGTGTTAAAACACAACTGTGCGCTCTGCATGATTTGTCAATAGTGTCATGATTCTGTAGGGGATGCTTCGTTTGGGAGCAGACACGGGGGTCTCCTTGTTAAACGCGCTTTGACAGTACCACAGCTGGTCGCCTTACCTCCTTGGTTTGTATGTGCAAGAACGAGACGGAAAATCAAAAGAGGCCAACAGTCACTGAATTACCATGTCGGCTTTTGTTCTTCAGGCGCTGTTTCACTTCGTGATTCTCATTGGGATTTATAGCAAGAACGTGACTTCTGATTTACCTTGTTTTTTGAGTTCATTGATGATCAAAGGCATCGAGAAGCTTGTTTAGCTGCTGATGCCACACACCTGCCTCTTCAAACGACGCCAACACTGAACCTTTTCCGCTCGCAAATCTCTCATACACCTCACCGACAGACCGGGCCAGAATGGGTAATTCTTCCTGCCAATCTGCCCACTCCCATGGGGCGTCTTCAACCGTATCGGTAGCAAAATCGTAGACCTGGATTGTAACAGGCCCCGAATATGCCGAGGCATGCAGCGTCGTTCCATCTCTGGCCGTCAGTCGGATCTCTCCCTTCGTGCCCTGAATGGTCCACACCAGTGCCGGATCGCCTTTGAAGGTTTGGCCTCTGCGGAAACGAAGCAAGGCACTTGCTCCAGCCTGAGTGTTCTCCGATGCAGGGAGGGTGGCTATGGCATAAACAAGATCGGGCACGTCTGATTGCACCGTCTCGACCACTCTCTTGGAGGCGGGATCAAAGATCTTGACCTCTGGTCTCTGAATTTGAAGATGCGATTCGATTTTCGTGAAATCTCCCAGAACATGCTGAATCTGGTCAAATACTAATCATTGTCAGTTGGGATCGAAGCAGAGTAACAATCTGGTACTTACAGTGCCCAAAGCCGATGGTGTACACATTTCCTCCCACGCTCCGCTGCAAGAAATACTTGAGAGACTGCGGCGCACGTTCCCGGTCATTCAAACCCCCTGCGGCAACAACTTCGCTGTTCAAAACCTTTCCAATGCGTCCACTCTGGATAAGCTCTCTGAGCTTCTCCACTGGAGGGGCAACTCGTCCCTGGAGGCCGACGAGTGTGCGGCCACCTCCCTGCCTTGCCGCCTGGACCAGGTCTTCGACATGCTTGACATCTTGGGCCAAAGGCCACTCGACATAGACGTTCTTGCCAGCCTTGGCACTTGGCAAAGCCGTTTGGTGGTGCACGTTTCGTGGCGGGTATTGACGACTACGAGATCAACATCGCCGTCATCTGCGAGAGCCTGGGGATCACCGTATGCCTTGGTCTCTGGAGGCAGGTTGAAGTGCTGGATGGACTTCTTGGCCGCTTCGACGCTCGAGTTCAAGAGAGCGACAATCTTGTAGTGGGATTGGCCGCGAGGGGAGAGAAGGTAGGGAAGATGTGCGTTGGCAGCCCAAGATGTCTTGGCTGAGGCGGACAGGCCAACGATACCGATGCGGATGGGAGCCATGCTCACGTGTGTCAATACCTACAAGTAATTAAATACCTTGATTGAGTGAGAATAGGCAGGATGTTTTATGTCTGAAGTCAAAGCACAAATAATCATGGCGATGATTCTGTTAGATATGGAGATGACGCGATTGATTTCTAAGCATGGATTTGTCACCACACTCGTGTCGTAAGACACGACATGAATTGATGCTATGAACTCTATTGTGACCTTGGCATGCATTGACCTTTTACTTTGGATGAGGTTACACGGCGCCAGCCACGCAATTGTGTATCGCGATGCCCAATGACAGGCAAGTCCAGGGGCCACAGAACAGTACCAGTGGTCCACTCAGTGAGGGAAAGGTTTATCTCGGCACAGCTTACCAGGGAGGATAATCTAAAGGACAACGGGAGCCTGAATTCATAGAGTGGTAGCTGTCACATCAAGTCACATCGAGGAGGAACATTTACTCCGCCAGCATTGATTGTAAGCTGCTGAAGTCCCATCAGCCTGTTCCAAAGGACCTAAACCCGCTACATAAAGTTATCTTGGCACGCGAAGTGACAACAAGAGACGATATACGGTGGGGCACTGGTAAATACTTCTTTTTCTTCAGGTGGTCATGGAAATTTGAAGGAGATACACGTGAGTCCTACACGAAGCTTTTCCATCTATATCGTGAGAGTCTATTGTGGTGATTAAAGCCCTGAATTAAACTCTTTGCCTTCGCAGTTTTGATGGACCGATTCCTCTCACTTCTTCATACGATCTCCCTGAGCCTCTCCTGAAATCGACTGAGCCCGATCGATACTAACTCTCTTTCCATCAATATTCTGGATGTGAGTAATCTGGGTGCCAATTCCGGTGCAAACATAGTCCTTGGACTTCCAAGCTGGGACCTTGGCGCGGAATAACTCATCCAACTCTTCCAGACTTCGCCCACTCATCTCGGGAACTACCAAGAATACGAAGATCAAGGCAAGGATCGAAATGCTTCCATAAATCATGCCAACCTTTGCCCCGAGATACCCAGGCTCGTTCTGGACGAATGGATTGATGTAGGTGATCAGAAGGCTGGTCACAAAGCCCAACATTGTAGCTATGGAAATCGTTCGTTCTCTCAGTTGCGTAGTCGCGACTTCGGCTAATGAACTGTTAACATCATACTGCAGAGTTGAAGTGTGGGTATATGATGACTTACTTGTGACTGTCCACATCACAGAGCCCCAGCATGCGGCAGCGAATGCTCCCTGGGAGGATGGTTAGCACGCACTTGTTTTAGATCAGAAAGGAATGATACAATCACTTACATAAAAGAGAATTGCCGCCACAACTCCTTGCGCAGCAGTATCAGAGGGGCCACCTGGACTCCATGCTGATACACCACTCACTGTCCACATGAGGCCTGCCATGAAGAAAGAACCACCCAAAAGCATCGGGCGACGACCGAGCATGTCGGTGAGGAAGAAGGTTAGGAGAGTGGCCCCAAAGTTGCAACACATTTTGGCAACATTGATCAGCAGCGGTTCCTTGACACCGACTTGCTTAAGGAAGATGACGAGATATGTGGTCGTGAAGGAGTTGCCCTGTGCTTGCTGCAGAACTTGGACGCCAATGGCAATGATGGTGCGGCGTAAGTTGGTGCCTTTGAAGCAGTCTGCATAGCTCGTAGCGAGGTTGTTCTCCCTTTCCTCTTGCATGGCCAAGTCGATTAGATTCAGCTCAGTGGCGACCTCTTCTTCAGTCGCACCGCCTGCTCTCATGTAGGCCAGGGCTTTCATGGCCTCTTCCTTTCTCCCCTTACCGAGAAGCCAGCGAGGTGATTCGGGAATGAACCAGATGGCAGCCAGCAACATACATGGGGGACCGATCTGAGCCACGATAGCTGCATCAACAGAAGTAAGTATCTATCAAAGTCAAGTTGTGATTCTTTACTACCACATACCAGTCCTATATGACCAAGTTCCGGTCAGAGTAATGGAAGAAGCGTAAACAGTGATAGCTGCGAGAGCGGCACCAATGTACAGCCACGACTGGTAAAAGTTGACCAGGCCACCGCGGATTGATGCGGGAGCAAGTTCGGCCATGTACATAGGCACACAGTTTGCCTCGATACCTATTAGCCGTACATTAGCATCTGCAAGTTCGCCACCATCGATTTCGGCTGACATACCCATAGAGAACGCGTTGATGAGTCTTCCAACCATTAACACCCAGTAATTCAGAACAGCGGCCTGGATCACCATGCCAATAAGCGCCACCACGCAAATGACTATGATTGTCTTCTTTCGTCCGAACGTTCTGGTCAGGTAGCCAGCCAGGAGGCAACCGATGATCCATCCCGCGATGGGCGTGCCGCTGGCTGCTGAGAGCCAGGTGGATGGAAGGGAGCGATCCTGGCCAGGACCGTTGTATCGACCGTAATCGTTGATGAAACTCTGCTGTCCGATAACGCCAGCCCACCAATTGTTGTCGTAACCGAAATTCTAAGGAGTCGTGTGAGCTATATGCACACGAGTAAGTATATCTGAACCGCCTCTGGAGTAACATACCATTGCTCCTATCTGTAATACAGGGTGTTAACAAGTGCTGCCCTCATCTTGGGTTAAAGCCAGGATCACAAAGATACTTACCGAAGCGAAGAGGAAGATGCGCAGCAAGCGCGGCGTGAGCTCGCGGAAGAACAGTGGTTTCGAGCCCATCTTGGATGAGGCAAATTGTAGACAGTTCTGTAAGACAGAGATGCAAGGAGTTGGGTGAGGGAACACCAATACAACAGATGGAAGGGATGACCCTTTTATGATGTCTTGTCCCTACCGAATGCCATGCTATCACAGGACAGGGGTTTTGGCAACGATAACAACCAGCCGTGCATGAAGGAGGTGGAGAACCCCAGAGTGTGATTCTGCCGCTGAAGTTTGTGGAGAACTGGATAGCACATGCAGCTAATAGATAGGGATCGATAGGGGCTGGATCTGTAGTGGCAGCCGTTTTCGTTGCGCCACGGCCAAAGTTGCGCCGCGGGCAACTTTGTTTGCCCGCTGCTCAACCCCAACCTGGCCGCTCCCTCGTAGGACAGGTCCACGGCGTAGACCATTCATATGGGCTTAATTTGAAATGCTTCCTTAACCGAGGTCGTCGTGTCGTTATAGTTTGGGACTTGTGTCTGATAATCTATGTTGTGGAGCAGAGACCTCCATGTAAATCTAACATCCACACCCACAGAGAAACCGAACCCTGGGGATTCAACATCTTGATAACAAGGGAGTTTGGCCGCATACAGGACTGTGTCACAGATCCACATGTACGTGGAGTTAGGGGAAGCCTTGGTCAGTGTGACCCGCGCGCAAAACATATGGTAGCATCTGCGCTATGTTAACCTGGCGGCCGTAAACTTCAACATTCCACCACTATTCATAAATACGGCGCTCAAGCCCGATAGTTTCTGATAAGAAGTCGAAGCAATAGACAAAGCCTGTGATAAGAAATACTCAGGCGTCTAAGCGTAGACAAAATGAGTCAAACAACTACCCAAACCCAGACGAGCTACCCGTAAGTATCTGGCCCCCGCTTGACGCCCTTCTATTCCAATCTTACCGTTTCCGTCTGCTAGATGCGAGCTTCTTGAGCAGCGCTTCTCGAAGCTGAAGCAATCAATCATAAAGCCTGAAGATAAGGCGAATTTGATCGAGTCGTACCACCGTCTGACCAAGGCACTAGAGCTTGAGGCCGATAGAATTGCCAAGCTGGGGCCGAAATCAATTCCCGAGATTGACTTTGCTACAATAGAGAGCAATGGAGGCGCTCTGCCAGACGGTCTAGCATCCTTAGTCCAGCAAACTGGCTGTATCATCTTCCGCAACGTTGTCCCAGAAGAACAGGCTTCAAAGTGGGAGGCTGATTTGAGGAGCTACACAAAGAGGCACCCGAAGATTGCTGGTTTCCCAAAACATGACCCGCAGAATTTCAGTCTGTTCTGGACACCGGCACAGGTCCAGATCCGCAGCCATCCGCGCGTGATGAAAGCCATGCAAGCCGTCAGCAAGCTGTGGCATCTCAGCGACGATGGAATCCCGTTTGACATGTCAAGTCAAGTTCTCTACGCGGATCGCTTTCGCATCAGACATCCTTCGCTTGGTTAGTCCAATCCGCATATCAACCAATCTCGTTTACTATCCCTGGCACGTGAAACTGATCGTGTCTTTAGATTCTGAATACACATTGAACGCGCATCAAGACAGCGGTGCAATCGAGAGATGGGAAGACCCGGACTACAGAGCTTGCTACCAGAAGATCTTTGAGGGAAAGTGGGAAGACTACGATCCTTGGAATGCTGATCACCGCTCTGAGGCCAAGACAGATTTGTATAAATCTGGAAGTTAGTCATAGACCTTTCTCCCCATTGTCTGATATATGCTAATCCAAATTTCACAGAATCTTGCTCCGCATTTCGGTCACTCCAAGGCTGGATTAGCCTCTCACATACCGGAACGGGCGAGGGTACATTGCGTCTCGTACCTGAGCTGAAGCTCTCAACGGCCTACCAATTGCTCCGCCCATATTTCGTTCTTGATGAGACATTCGACGACGTTACACCCTTGTTCCCGGGTGCCACTCCAGGGAGATTGCAATTTCTGCCCACTCAGGAGTTGCATCCCCACCTGGCCTTGGAGAAGAGCATGGTGGGTATTCCGCCCGTCAAGCCAGGAGACTACGTGTTCTGGCACTGCGACCTGATCCACGAAGTCGACAAGTTCCATCCCGGAACTCGGGACTCCTCGGTCAGTTACAACGGCTGTGTTCCGCTTTGCCCGTACAACGTGCGGAATCTCGTCAGCCTCCGCCAGAGCTTCATGGATGTGCTCCCACCCAAGGATTTCGAAAAATACGAGCACGGTGAGCTTGAGAAGGACCACGATGATCACGGTGCGAGGCGTGAGAACATCCTGTCGATTGAAGGCCTTAGGGCTCTCGGATTTGAGCCCTTTGATGTTGAGGAAGCAGGATTGACGTCGGGTCAGCGAGAAATGCGCAGGATGGCGAATGTGGAGCTTGGCTTCGCGACAAGTTAGGCCAGATGTAAACCCTACCCTTGACTGCAATTTGACTTTGTCCCTAGTATCTAGATTGTATGATATGAATTTCTCTCTATGTAGGCATGGTTATTGGCCGTGACGCGATGCTTCACTTGGCATTAAGGAAAAGTTCAACACAAGGTTCGTTGGAATCTCCAATCTGATCAACATTATTCTCTTTGCTAGGAAACTTCGAATAGTGAAATAAGATCAATTTGTATTTAACTGCTAGCAATGAGGCTCTCTTCATACTCGGTTATTCATTCTAAGAAGCAATATCATGTAGGATCACTTTCTAAGGATGAATGGGAAAAGTCTAGAGTGTCATTTAACACTCAACAGATGAATTTCTGGCATATTTCTTATCTGTTTTATGTTTAATCATGTATATGTCCGCAAGAGAAAAGAGAAGAAACGAATTCCAGTCAAGGTGACCCCTGATTTCTGGCTTAAGAGCCTGCGTTCGTTAGCCCCCACAACGGAGATAATAGTCAACGTTCTGGCCGGGCCTAAATCAAGTTTGATAACATTTGTTAGAGATAAGCAGTAAAGTAAGGTAATCAAATTGAGGTTTCTAAGCCATGGCAGGAACTGTAGTTTCCTCGTGCTGATGGCCGCGGCGCAAAATAAAATCCACCCACCCAGTACCGAGGTTGGCTCTAGTCCCACAGAGGAAAAGATGGAGACCTCTCACCGCACATGTTAATCACTCATTGTTCGTTGTATAATAAGATGCATGTGTTGATGGTCCGCCAAAAGGGTCTATCGTGTGCTTAGTAACCCACTTCTCTTCAGCTTGATAAAGTCCTTTCTCAACCAACCAGTTGCCAGGATTCAGATACGCCTGAAGACCTTGATACCTACAACCGTCAACATGGAACCATACCTACTCACCGCAACTGAGTGCCTCGAGAAGTTCAAAGACGGCTCTTTGACAGTAGAGGCCTACGCGAGATCTTTACTGTCGCGTATTGAACAAAGGGACCCAGTTGTGAAGGCATGGACCTATTTAGACCCAGCTTATGTGATCGAGCAGGCCAAAGCCCTAGATCAAATCCCACCTGCAAAAAGAGGGCCGCTTCATGGCGTCTCAATTGCTGTGAAGGATGTCATGTATACTAAGCGTGAGTACCATTAACAAACCTACCGGAGATAGAAACTAATCCAGGTACTACAGGAATGCCCACACAACACAACTCTCCAATTTATAAGGGAGATTCACCAGAGGTTGATGCAGGCTCCGTAACTGTTCTCAAGAACGCCGGTGCTCTATTGATAGGTACGAATGAGAAGGGAATTGCCACAATATCTTCCAGGTAGCAAAAGGGCCTTTGCCTACTGACTCACCCTCGTAGGAAAATCGGCGACAACGGAATTCGCATCAGCTAAGAATGGACCGCCAACATGCAACCCACATGACCCTACGAGGACTCCCGGTGGCTCTTCTTCTGGGTCGGGCGCTGCTGTTGGAGACTTCCAAGCAGCCATTGGTCTGGGGACTCAAACAGGAGGCAGTACGATCAGGCCCGGCTCATTCAACGGGGTTTACTCAATGAAGCTTACTTGGAATTCGGTTACTCGAGAGGGCCATAAGATCTACTCGCTGACCTTGGATACTACCGGCTTCTTTGCCCGCTCAGTTGATGACCTTAATCTTTTGGCTGACGTCTTTGCTCTGGCTGATGACGAGACCAGTAAACAGGAGGCATTCAATATAAAAGGTGCTAAATTCGCCCTTCTACGGACAATGGCATGGCCTGACGCCGGACCCGGAACAATTGCCGCCATGGACACTGCAGCTGAGATACTCCGGCAGCACGGCGCAGAAGTTGAATCTATTGAATTGCCTCCTGAATTCGACAACATGCCCGAGTGGCACCGCATTATCATGGATACTGAGGCACGTCCAGTCTTCCTTCCTGAGTATCGCATTGCCAAGGAAAAGCTCCAGCCATTCATTGTCGGTCATGTAGAGAACAGTACAAACATCAGCAGGGCGGCTCAACTGGCAGCTTTCGATGGGATAGCGGCCCTGCGGCCTTTGATTGATAAGATTGCCGGAAGTTATGCTGCGATTATTACACCTAGTGTTGTCGATGAGGCCCCAACAGGTCAGGCACACACTGGTAGTCCGGCGTTCAACATCATATGGACTGTGAGTATTGTGATATTCAACCCGATACAATCAGCGAGGCAACTAACAGATGGCACACAGGCCCTCCATACACCGGTTGTTAACGTTCCTGGGTTCAAGGGAGAAAATGGAATGCCGATCGGCCTGTCCTTGGTTGCGCCAAGATTTCATGACCGGCATCTGTTGACGGTTTGCAAGGCAGTGGGAACCATTTTTGAGGCGGAGGGTGGATGGAAACGTCAGTGCCATATTTAGATTCGATTCCCAAGTTTAATGGAATCTATTATAAGGTCCATATGACCAATTATACAGCTATATAGGCAAGAATACTCTACATAGACTTCTCATCAATTCTCTCTAAACGAGTAACTCCCACCAAGTTCGTCCGGGATGGCAAAATCCAAAAGAAAGTCCAGCTCCTGATCAAACGACATTGGCAGGTCGCTGATGTCCGGCAGCGTTGGCCCAGTATGGTCGACCGCGCTGGCTTCATGACTCTGTCTCGTAACAGTCTCAGGCTCGCTGACGGAAGCAATGAGCGCAAGCCGTTTCACGGCCAATTTAGTGATGTCAAACGACTCAGAGTGCATACCAAGCAACGTCCGGTAGCGTGTGAGCTGGTTAGTCCACGCATTGACTTCTTCATCCTCGGTCGAGGTGAGTACCATATTGCACATGAAACTGCCCGCTATTGAAAAGTTTGTGCGAGAAAGCGGCGACCACCAAAAAGCGCGGAGACGGCTCACTTGCAGACACTCGACGAACTTGATGACGTTTTGGGTCACTTGACGCGCTCCTTGACGCAATTGAGCTGCTTCTGGGCAAACTGGAGGCATCCTCCGTAAGATGGCGCGATAGAGAACAATCTGCACTGTGAAGAAAGCGAGATGAAGAGTTCCTAAGAATAGGTCAGTACATATCTACAATTGTATTGAAAGATCACCGCTTACCGGTAGGATCACGGATTTGATCCGCTGCACTTTGCAGCCCCTTGACGTGTTCCTCCTGAAAGGTCTCAAGGCGATGAAAGAACGAATTGAACATTCGCAAGGTATCGGCAGTATCCGGCGACGCCTCAGTGCCAATAGATCTGACAGTGTACGCTTTGCAAAGCAGATCTGATAGGATCGTCGTCAGAACACTCATGGCGATGAAGAGCTTGGTAGTTGAAGATGGCACGGCCCGCCCCTCGAAGCTCTGAGGCGGTATGTCTCTCTCAGAAACCATGGGGACGTTCCATTGGTCTTCGTGTATGTAGCTTGGTCTTCCCAAACCTAGGGCATGCCATTTATCGGCCATGAAGACAGCCCACCAAAGGCGGATTCGCCTGCTTCGTTCCCAAACTGGAATCGACCAACGTGATGGATCCATATTCAGCCCCAGCTCATGACACATTCCCACAAGAGACCCGATTTGAGGCCACACGCCAGGCAAGGTTGGGACGCGATGGATAGAATTTTGACGACATAAGATGAGCAGGCTGAGCTCGATCGTCGCCAATCGCGGATATCTTGAGTGCCAGAGGAGAACTCTGTGCAAGTAGTCATACCACTCTGGCCATGTTTCTTCCATCTTAACATCGGTGAAAGGAGAGGCGAGCCGATACATGATACCCGTCAGCGGAGGGTACTTGTCAATGGTAGTCTGGATGTGTTGGCCATCAAGGATGGGATATGAAGTATGAACCACATCGAAGTAGGACCTTATCAACGATTTGTGTGTTTCTGATCCAGCATCAATCGGCGGGCAGCGAAGAGTAGCATTGAGATCTGAATCAAGATGTGAGTCCGGGACCGTCTAAAGAGAGCCATGTTAATATCGACTATTAATACCACAGAGCAGAGATCAAACGTCACGCAGACTTGTTCAGACTTACAGTAAAATGCATGGGAACATCGTTGTTGCCGTAGATACGCATGCAGGCCCAATCCTGGCGCTGGTAGTAATCATTATTGAACCGGCAATGTCTCAGGACATACGGGTCCTGATCGCTACTGAAGCCAACAAACAGCGATGTCCAGTCATCGGGAGGCGAGTCACTCTGGTAGTCACTCGTGGTGCCAGTCGAGTGCGCAATCTGGGGAGAGACTGGACGAGTGCCCGCGGAGGAGGTGGTCGTGCCGACGGCCGTGCGAGGGCGGCGTCGTCGGACGTTGGGTTGGGACTGATAGGTGCAGCTCGTGGAGCGAAGAGTACACAATGAGCAGGCCAGGGAGCCAGGCTCTCGGATGCAGCATATCTTCCTTCGGCGACAGGCATCACATCTGGGCTGGGGGTCAGCCTCTCCAACGGAATCAGGGGTCGAGGGTGGACTCACGGGCGTTGCTTTCTAGACTTGTAACTTCGTCCCTGATGGGGATTCTCAGTCCCTGGTGAGGGCAACATCGCAACAAAGGTTCCGGAGATTTCACTGGAGTTCTACAGGTTCATGTAGAATCGTGGAGGAGGTACGAAGGTCCATTGATAAGCAGACAGGGAGAGGAATTGTTACCCCACAAGCAATCCCCGCTCACAGATAACCGGACACTGGCTCGATTGGCTCTCTACAGGGGAGGACTCCTTATTCGGCGTCTTAAATATCGCTAGAGAGGCGCTTGGACAGTGCTAAGTAATCGCTAGTCATGACCTGGAGGGTCTCGTCGCCTCACGCTCCGCCCTCCCTCAGCAGTGCCTCAATCTCTTTCAAAATGCTTACACACTTCTCTTCCTGCAGCCTTCTACACGCGATTTGCACACCAACTGGCGAGTCCTTGAATACCTCTGGTGAACTGTATATCTCTTTCATCTCCTTGTCTCCCCAGTCATACGGGAATCTCACCTCCTCAATACGCGGGTACGCTGGCGCGTTGTACCACTCTGGCGGAGCAACGTCCCTTTCCAAATCCACAGTGGTCACAGGGATGCTTCCTGTCGCGTAGTCGAGCATATTGTATATCCCGGCATAGCAATTGGACACGTACTTGCCATGAGGCGGTGCCGGGTGCGCAACTGCGGGCGCGAGGATGGTGTCAAGGCTGTACTGAACCCAGAGGGTGTTGTACCGAGCGGCCAGGCCAGCGCGCTCCTTGTGATTGGCGAAGATTTCGTGCGCCGTGAGGAGGGATGCTGGCGATCCGGTCGCTGTTCGCGGAACCACAGGCTCCCCTGATGCGACGATATGCTGCATGATGCCGCGGCCTCCGCCTTGCACATTTGACTTCATGACACAGGAGGTGCCTCGTTGATGGATCTCTTTGATCTCGCCAGCAGGGAAATCAATTATGGCATGCCCTGCCAAGGCTAACAGAGAAATCACACGGTCCAAGGCGCGGCTCACGGGCGGTGTTGGCCGGATCACACCGTCGTCTCGAACCACCCCAATTACTAGTTTCGACTTCGGTCTCTGTGCTTTCTCCGTGTTCCAGGGCATGGGGATGCAATTGAAATCGAAGTTCCAAGGCTGGTTCTCAAGTTGAGCTTGAAGCCATAACTCACAGCCGGATACACTCCTCGCCATCGGCCCCAGACCTGTATTTGTCGACTCATTACCATCGCCTGGCGACTGAATTCCCATGGTTGGCATCCGCCCTTTGGAGCACTTTACACCCCCTTGGAGCATCGTCAGAATAATTTCTAGTCAACATGCAAACGGGACATACTCACAGAGACCACAGAAAGCTGCGGGCATCCGAATGCTCCCACCTCCATCCGTTGCGCTGCCAAGAATTGATCCCTTGGCTGCGATCAGCGCCGACTCGCCTCCGGAAGAACCCCCTGCTGAGAGAGCTGTGTTGTATGGATTGGATGTGGTCCCAAACACGTTGTTGATGGACTCGACCATCAAATGGCCTTGTGACACGTTGGTCTTGACATATAGAACACCGCCGGCAGCAAGTAGGCCTTTCGTAATCGATGAATCCTCAGCTGAGATATTGGGGATCCATGAGGCGAGGCCAGCCGTTGCATGTACACCCTTGACACCATAGAGATCCTATGCACACAAAGTCAGTCAACTGTGCCGTGAGAAGGCATAGGGGCAATCACCTTGAGGGATATAGGCAACCCGTGCAGGATTCCAATGGTTTTCCCATGATTCATGAGGTAACCATCCAAATACTTTGCCCTTTCAATAGCTTGATCGTACATTATCTCAGTTAGGCAATTAATAGTCTGCTGAGCAATCGAGGCTCGCTTGCAATAAGCCTCTGTCACCGCGACCGCGCTGTAGATCCCTTTAGCAATGCGGTCCAGCAGAGCCGCAGCATCGTCAATCGAGGTGATTTCGATGTCAAGGTCATTCAGAATGCCACATTTCAATACCTCCGGATCTGATGGGAGCAACACCCCCTCCGCCGCCTTTTTTGCTAGGTCATCGGGCAGCAGATGGGACTCGGGGATGCTGTCTCGTAATTCCTGGCGTTTCTTTGCGGCGGCTGTTTGCCAGTCGTCGATTTGAAAAGGAGGTCCGCTCATTTTTCAGGGTAGCTTCTCTAATGTCTGCATAGACTTCACTTCTCTCCGTAAAACCTATAAAATGAAGCTCTGCTATCTTTTATCTCCCTCAGGCTCCATACACTTGTTAGTTAATCGCGGCTTTCCAAGCTCGTTAGCCAGGGTGGGATACAGTTGCCCGCGGCGCAAGAGTGGGCCAACACACAACTCAGATACCGCTTCTCTCCACACCCTAACGATTTCTAATTAGGTTTTCTTTCATCAAATTGGGCCAAATGATACTAGTATTTAATATTTCAAGATAGAACAGTCTGGAGTACTCAAAGTGCAATGGTTAGCTTACCATTTATAGGGCGATTATGGACAAGAGTTATCTGAGCCTGGTCACCGCACAGACAAAACAGTCTTTCCTCAGCTATGTCACCTTCATATTTTTGCTTTAGCTCTATTTATACAATTATACATAACGTAGATAGCTCACTCTTGGGTTGTCTGACTAGAATCTTCTTCAAGTGCAGATGGTGAGTTAAGCATACGTGATGAGTTAAACTTATCCTCGTTGTAGGGTAAGTAGGTACGGTTATTTGATAACAAAACACCCGTTGTGCCAGTATTAAGGGAAACATTTGAGGTAGGAAATTGAAATCATATGTTTTTAATGCGTTTATAGTTAAATACATTTAATCTATGAACCTTGATGTAATCCAGAGTTTAATTCATTCTTCTCCCGTCATGCATGGCAGTCCAGAAGGTTCAAGACAGAAAAAGATTGAGTTCAGAACCCTAGAAGTTATCCGAGATACCCTCTTCCTCGGCTTCGGATCTACTGACGAATTTCTTGGTCAGTCTAGCCTCGTGATCTCGTAAATTATAGAGATCAATGTGTCGACCATCACATAAGAAGTCTTGGAAATTAGCCGCGTTCAGAGTCGCCGGAGCAAAAATTACACTTACCACCATGATGCGAGGGCATCAGTTGATTTGAGATGTGAATCCAGTACCCACGAGGCACAGCATAGCAGTCGACCCCTTCTTTCGGTGCCATTTCTCTCCAGCATCGCAACCCACCAGCATCAGCCCAGTGCATTCTTGTTTTCTCGACCCCCTGGTTCTTAGCCAGTTTGAGATCGACGGTTGTATATACCTCCCAAGAAGCACAGAACACTGTCACCTCTGTTCTAGATGACGCGATTCTCCGAACTAGGCGGTCAATTAGGTACACCAGGCTGGACTTGATGCCGCAAATGAGGTGCAAGCGAGCCAAGGAAGGAAACCTGAATGGATTTGGGCACTCTTTTGGAGAAAGGCCACAAAAGATTTCGTCGAATATCATGAGATTTGGACTGATGGTCATAGTAAAGGAGGTGATGAGGGCCATCTTGTACGGGGCCACAAACTCATGCATACCGCGAAGAAGAGAGAGCGACTCGATATGAATTGTGTTCGTCCGGTATAGAACTTCGATACCTTCCTCGTAGCTACAGATCAGTATTCTTATTAGCGCCTCGCTCGATTGGTTTCCAAGAATCCCAAAACTAGGGAGAGAATGAGCTCACCCTTGCCGACATGATAAAAGCCAGCCCGAAGCACCCACGTGACAATCTTCAGGACATCTCCCTGAGTGGGAGGGGTTTCCTTGGCTTCCAGGGCATGCGAGCGGATCTCTCCGTGTTTCACGGTGAAGGAAATGTCTCCGGTCGAGTGGTTCGTGCGGTAGATCCGGCCTCTTGCTGTGGCACACACAGCTCATCCATTGCCAAGACTTGACACTGCGCTGGCCCGCTGCTTTCTCGACCATGTCAAGATCAAGATGAACTGTCTGAGCCCCAAATGCTTCGATAAGTATTTGACGTCGGACGTCCGGAGGCACTTTGGTGAAAAGGGGCCCTGAGGGATACGCGGGTGCGTTCGTGGCTGGGATTGGGCATTGATTTTTCACCTGCAACTGCTTAAATTCGTCGTCCAGCCGTTTGGCGGCAGCCTCGAGGCGTTTATTCTCTCGCCGCTCTTCATGGTAGGTAGATAAAGGACACAAGTAGGACCAAACCGGGTGCAGTGAGTGCTCGAATATAAGATAAAATGGATACCAAATAGGCTTGACAACCTCCAAGCAGATGTTGAAGGGTGTCGCCGGTTCATTATGAAGTTGTCGCCTTTGGGGCCGGAATTTCATCAGCATACGAAACGAGAGCGAGAACTCATCCCACCCAGAAGAATGCGAGTTGGTCTCCATATTGTCTACATTACTAGTGTTCAGCCGCAAAATGCGTTGGCGGGTCATCTGATTTATTTAGCCCAGATGGCGCGTGCCGCAATGCAGCCATACATTCTAAACTGAGACCTAAAGAGCGCTACTGTTCAGCTCGCCTCTTTGCGATACCAATTCTATGCTAGCTAGAAGGATGGCCGCGGCCCGCCCAACATCTTATTTTCAAGTTATTAGGAGTGTTATGGCCATCACAGCTAGAAATAATAAACCAGGTGTAGGCAAGATAGAGAATTATATGATTCAAAACCTTGACCATATTCTGGGGAGTGGAAAACTTGATGCTAACTAGTTTATTCTATATGGAGACATAATCTTGGCGGCTAACAGCTACATACTATTGGAACAGTTCCCCGCGCAGCAGTACCAAGGGTTTCTGTCGACATCTTAAGAGTCGTGTATCTGAAGCATATAGAACTGCCGCATGGCACTTCTTTTCCTGCTTGATTCGCTAAAACGGCGTTAGTTTCAGCTAAGGAGCATCAAAGAATAGGCAGGAAGCCTAAAGTTGCACCGTCGCGCAAAATGTAGTGGATCCTGAGGAGATGCATATGTTGCGGTGTTTGTACCTGAATCTGACCGGAGCGGCCACTCACCTTTCGGTCAGAAACTGCGGAAATTGATACGAATATCATAGAGTACTGCATCAAATTATAAATAGATGCGATAAGCGGCTGGCAAGACGCCGATTTCGCCCTCGTACGCGGTCCAAAGTACCACCGGGCCACCGAATATTTACATGTCACAAAGCCATCGTTTTCAGCTCATGCAGCAAAATCCAATCGGGATGGCTAGATTCCGCCAGAGTACAAGCACCGCAGGAGAATGCCCACCGAAAAAATGCTTCTAATTTCGTTGATTCAAGTTGATGATTGGCTACGAACGAGGCTGGCGCTTATTTGGCAAAGTCCCCATGACTAAGACTAACCTGAAAGAACAATAAGAAGCAAATAAGTATCCCCTACTTCTCTCCTCAAGCTCTCTCTTCTTCTTTCTAACCCATGACCAGTTGAAACGACAAAGGGTTATTGAGATGCCTGGATACAAGTTCATTTGCAAGGGCCTGGTTGCTTTATGCTTCCTGGTCCAAGCATATGCGAACAACTCTGACTTGGATAACCCTAGATTCATAGGCTACTTCATTGACGCTGGTAAAACGTCCGATAGCAGTAAGTTTGTATCCAAGCAACAGATGAAGAATGTGTACTTAATCTACCGTTCAGTTGAGACAATGACAGCCCCAAGTTCATTGTACACTAAATTCACGACTTCCGGAGATTATGCTGGGCCGTGTCCAAGATCCGGATCTAATTGTCAGGTCAACACCATGTGTGAAAATGGGACGCTTTCAGGACCCGATATCACCAACGTTGCATGGTTAGTCTTTCCGACCTTCAGATCAGTTAGTTCATCAAATCTTAGCCACAAACTAACGTCACTGCAGCAATGGCCTGTCCTCTTGTCAGACAATGACAATTTTACAGACGTCTCCAGCTGGCGGTCCCACGGCTAAGTATATCTTTTGTGGACTCGTTTGGTCAGCGAATACCGTATATCGCGAACTGAGTACTTCATCGACAATGAGTACCTCCTCGGCCAAAGTTTCGACCGTTGCCTCTACCGAAATGCTGTCGACTTCCGTATCAGCAGAACCAATGACCTCCACGAGAGACCTCCCCGCCAAAAGCACATCGGAAGCAGACACCGGCTCTAGTTCGACGGTTAACAGCCAGGCATGGATCGCTGGTCCTGTTCTTGGCGGTTTGATTGCACTTGGTCTTCTTGTGGCTGGTGGGTTCTGGTGGGGAAGAAGATACCGTCGACATGCGGAATCGATGAATATACAACCCGCTCCGCACGATACGCCACCACATAAACCCTTATTTGCAACTGAATCGGCTTATTTTCCAGCTGGAATACCCATGACCCACCAGAGTAGCCATCGAGAGACTAGCATGCAGTCCTCAACGTTGATGGAGCTGGGCTCTGACGTAGACACATCTCAACACTCGCAGTTATATCTCGAACTTCCTGCGAGCCCTCATCAAACTCATGGTATTGAGAACCGCGCTTAAAGCTGGACAAAGGGTATATTTTGGTCCAAGGTGGACAATGTATATTTGTCTTTTTATGTGTGGTTTTATTGGTGTCGTCAAGGGAACGAAAGTCAGAGAATAGCGTGGGATATTGACCTCAAGTGAATGAAGACTGAGAAACACTAATTGGTCATCATTCTTATCCCTGTACGGTTCTAAGATTAGTGCTGGATAGTGATGGATTGTGTCTTCTCGAAGCTGCTACTATGAGCGTATCAGCTATCGTAGAACCTAGACGTGGAAAATAGAAATCATTTACAGGAAGTAAACACAATACAAAGTATGAATATTCGAAAATGTGAGAAAAGAAGGGCTTTGTGTGGCTTTCACAACACGGATTTAGCATTCATACGCAGCATATTTCATCGTCTCGGGTTGGGTTTGCGAATCCCCAATGTGGCTTCGCCAAACCTAGCTGACATGGTTTGCGCAATCAATAACAACAACTGCAACTGCCGCTTCTTTCTATCAATCCAGGGCGGAACTACGAGCCCGGACTCTAGAGCGTGGATAACATATCCCATGTTACGATAAGAAGACCACCTTCAGTCAAAGCCTCCTGGAGTAAATATGACAAATTAGGAGATTTAAAATTATACCACGGCCATCGTATTCTGGTTTAAGAGCAATCTCTGGATTCGACTCAAAGTGTCAATACCTCAACGCGCACTGAACGACTAAAATCATGCCTTCCTTGTTCCAATAGAAGTTTTGGGGCTCCGCGTTGCTGATTTATCCTACCAGCAGCCCTTTTCAAGGCCCCGTCAGCGGGAGAGGCCAGATTCGGATCCCGTCATAGTCCACAGTAGCAAACATGGCCTGTCCCTTCTCTTTATCCTCCCAAATTACCATTTTGTAACCGTTTGTAGCTTTGAGCTGCCCTTTCCCATCTGTCCATTTCGTATTGTCCATGCCATCATCCGTCCCGCCTCTCGCAAACCTCCATTTCACCTCTCGAGCCAAGTCATACACCTCAACACTGTCGTCCCCAAAGGTCCAAATAGCCAGCTTGTTTCCGTTATCAAAAAACCGGACCTGGCGGACACCTAACATACCCCCTAGCATGTTTCGGACGGTTTCAATGTCCCTACCAGCTTGAGCATGCGACTTCGCCGGCGACAGAGTTCGTTTCTGGAGGATTTTTTTCTTCTCTACATCCAACAGGTATACAGGAGCCAGTTCTTCTCCTCCGACTGACAGCCACTTACTATTAGGGTGCCAGTCCAGCGCCCGGCGCCACCCCCTGGTCCCTTCGCGCTCGAAGACCCAAACCGGGGAGCCATCAGACATACTGTATATGTGTGTGGCACCAGTGCCGCAGGTGGCAGCGAAGTATTTCGAATCTGGAGAGAATCCACCCGCCCAGTTTTGCTTGGTTGTGGTAAAACAAAATCGTTGATTCCCAGTAGTTGCATCCCAAATGCGAATCGTCTGATCCCAACAGACACTTCCGAACAAAGATTCGTCATGGTTCCACCCCATCCACATGAGCGAGTCAGTGTGACCATGAAGGGCGATCCGATCCGATTGAAAGTCACTGGTAGAGACGATGTTGATGTCCCAGACGTCGACATCGTTGGATCGGAGCCGACCGCCAGGTATATACACAAGTTTCTTCCCCGACGGACTAAATACCTGGGATCCAAAGATCGTTCTTATGCGTCCCCGGAGATGCAGAGTGTCCTTGACCAGCTCGCTGGCCACAACACTAGTGACGCCCGGTTTGATGGCCCTCTCGAGTTTTTCGCGCAGATCTTCGCTCTCCTTCACGCCTTTCTCAACTAGTTTAGACGCAGCTGTTTGGGATGCTGCGGCGACGACCTCATCCAGCGAGGCTTGGCTTTGGATCGCAACCTGACGCTTCTGGTACTCTTTGATATTCCAGATAATGATGACAGGCTCTGTATACGTGGAGCCTTCGCCAAAATCATGCTGAGAAGTTGATACTAGAACATTGGAGTCATTCGGCGCGAAGGCGAAGCCCTCTGTTGCTTCGGCATGCCCTCGGAGGATGCAGGCGGTCGCCCAGGTGTTCGTGTCGATGATATGAATGTCCTGCTGCAAGGCCACGGCTAGAGATTGTCCATCATTGCTCACACAAGCATTATACGGTCCTTGATTGCCGAAGTCTAATTTTTTGAGCTCGTCATCCCAATGCAAATGGCCGTTTTCGGCGTAAGGGAACGGTTGACCATCTTTGGTGGTGAATTCTTTGCCCAAGGCGTAACGCCAATCTTGGTAGAACTGGTCTGCGGAGTAACTTGGCATTGTTTAGAGAACAGCTTACAATCTTTGATAGGGCAAGAGTAATAAAATGCAACTTGTTCCAGGGCTTGGTGTGCTCTATTATATATCGATCTCGGCTGTGTCAGATTACATCATCCATGTTGTCTCAGAAGAAAGTGAGGGGGTGGCAAGATCGTCGGGCACACATTAGGCAGACATGCGATATCTACCATCATATCAGAGTTAGGTTGTTTCATATATATTACACTGCATTCACCAGACGAATTAACCAAGGCTTCATGTTCACAGGTTTAAGACTTGATTAACTAAATGTGAGGAGTATAAGCTCATACCTAGTGAACTAAATGAAGGCTTGGAAAGCTAAATCCCATTTAAGGTTGGCATCTCATATCATAGGCAGATACATCCTGTCACATATTGATGAAGCTACATCACTACATGCATAATTCATTGCTTGACTTTTTGTGTCAGCTTAGAATCACACTTTGCCCGCTGTGGGGCAAATCGGCTTTGCCCTCGTGAATCGACCGAATGAAAGTCACGCGATACTTGGTTAATACCCCTCATTCATCCTGACCGTGATTGTGACTCATTTCTCCGCCAGAAGAAGCCTTGGCACGGATATTGTAACTGGCGTCGAACGACATTGTTAGCACTTGGCTTGAACATTTAACGACACGCTGGGCCAAGTGCAACTATTGAAAGAGCACGAGTATCCGGTCATTAGGATCATCTTTGGGTCCCTGATATCTACAAATGGCTTCTTCCAACACAAAGGTCGCAGGATATTCCCATAGCGATGCTTTCAACTCCGGATTCCTCCCTGTTGGCAGCATCCACAAAGTCTGGTATGCGGAACACGGTCTGCCAACAGGCCGCCCAGTCCTCTTCCTACACGGCGGTCCTGGAGGCGGGACATCTCTTGCCAACACAGCCTTCTTCGACCCAAAAGTCTACCGAGTTGTTCTCATGGACCAACGTGGAGGTGGAAAATCAACTCCCGCAGCGGAAATCCGCGAGAATACAACTCAGCACCTGGTCGACGATATTGAGAGGCTGCGAGAACACCTAGGCATCACTCAGTGGGCTATGGTCTTTGGAGGGTCTTGGGGAAGTACTCTTGCGCTTGCCTATGCCGAGGCCTACCCTCAAACGACTTTGTCTCTAGTCCTCCGTGGGATATTTGCTGTGCGAGAGTCCGAGCTGGCCAACGCATTTGCTCCTTATGGGGCGTCTAACCAGCTTTTCCCTGAGGCATACGACGAGCTCTTGGGACACCTGAAAGCGAATACAACCAAGAGCGCAGAAAGCTTATCCGAGCCACGAACGCTGCTGACGGAATATTACAGACTGCTCTGTGACGAGGATCCGGCTGTTCACAACGCCGCCTCTAGGGTTTGGAACAAATATGAGATCACTGCAAGTACGCTCTTACTGAGTGATGAACTCGTTTCCCAGCTTGATAACAACGAGACCTGGAACCTTCAGCACGCACGTATTGAATGCCACTATTTCCTTCATGGAGCGTGGCTTGAAGACGGGGAACTGCTGAAACCGAGCAATCTGGAGCGCATCAAGGACATTCCATGTACGGCCAGCCCACTCCCCAGAGCATGATCTCCTACTAATTCTTCAAATAGGTCATATCGTCCAGGGTCGCTACGATGTAGTTTGTCCTGCCCGGACTGCCCAGGATCTTCATCTGGGATTGCCGCAGTCAAAGCTGCATATTATTCCTGATGCGGGACATAGTGCTAACGTAAGCTTCTCGTTTCCTCAGTCTCGCTCTAAGCGGTATGCTAACAACTCAACAGGAAGTTGGAACGAAAGCAAAGCTGATTGAAGTTTGTGACGAGATTTCCAAACTCTAAGTGGACATCGACGTCTTCACTTGATATATGTCAGTGCCTTGTAGCCAATAGGGCAGCAAAGAACCCACAGGTTTGAAGATGGAGTGTCACTTTTGAGATTGGGTTCACTTTTCTCAGGCTATGTACTCTCTCCTCATGAAACAATAAAAATTCCCATATTACGAAGACCTGAAATTCCAAATGCGCTTTGATGCAGTATCGCAAATGATCTTGAGACGCCCAGCAGCAACCTCAAAATCTTGCACAGTCAGGTATACTTGAGCACTCAGCCTGATCCAGAGAGCACCGTTATAGAAGGTAAGGTTGATAGCGGTGCCATGTTGTTCCATCATCTCCTTCATGACCCACGCCGACACTTCACCTACGTTTGGCGGCACTCCTCCCGTAATTATGTCCATCGCCAAGGGCAGGCGAATATTGACCATACTGGTGATCCCCTGACTTAGAACTTCTGTCCCGAGCGCCGCAGCGAAGATGGATCCGGCCTGCTCCGCGAGGTAGTACAGGTAGCTCATGATAGCCTCCTCTCCTTGTTTGTCTTTCCACACCAGCTTCTTCCTCCATTCCAGCGCAGCCCTGACGCAGAGATAAGAAGTGTCGTCCCTCGTGTTGAGATCAGCAAAGTTTTCGATAAAGTTGTTTGAGACCAGCTTCCGGGCGTCCTCGTCTTTGGGAAATTCGAGAAAACCGAAACCGGTTGGAAATGTTATCTTGAGGAGATGCTGGTTGCGGACTGGCACGTATAGGAACGCGCAACTCCTTGGGGTGTAGAGCCACTTGTGGCAATTACTGACGAGAAAATCAGCATCCAACTGCCGGAGATGCAACGGGATCATTCCAACTCCATGGGCTCCATCGATGAGCGAAAGAACGTTGTACAAGCGACATATCTTCGTTAGACGCTCAAAAGGCATTCGAAGCCCGGGGAGAGAGGATATAGTGTCAAATAATGCGACTTTTGGCTTCTTGCCCTGTTGTAAGAGCTCCTTGACGGTATCCTCGAAAGCCTGGCAAATAAGTTCATCGGAGATTGGATAAGTGTACTCGATCTTTTTGAACTCTGCAGGTGTGACCTCGTTGAGATACTTCGCAGTAGACTCGTAAGAATCGTAAATTGTAGGAAACCCAATAATCACATCTCCGGGCTTGTAGTTGAAATTGTGCAGAATCGTGTCGATGCCTGTGGATGCATTCGGAACATAGACGCAGCATTCGGCCGGGACATCTAAGTACTCTGCAAGTACTTCTCGAGACTCCCTGAGTAGGTCGACACGATACTGATAACGAACAAAGTGATCAGGCCTGGCTTCGGCTCGATCTTGGTAGTGACGAAGAACGTCGCGAACCTCCCTCGGATATGTGCCGTAAGATCCTGGCATAAATGAGCAAAATATTCCACGGACAAGGCAGTAAGCATGCCGACGTACCGTGATTAAGGTTAATATAGTCGGCGTCGTGCAGAAAATGCTTTGCTGCGTCTTCTCCGCATTCGATTGGGCTCAGACTTCGGATCTTGCCCAAAGGATCGGGTCTTTCCTCGCGGGGATACGACATGATTCCCTTGTTAAGCGTGAGTAGTTTTCGCTGAGTCTCCTGCAGCTTGAATGACAATATTAATAGAACTTGAAGTCGGGTAGAAAACCATGGATCAACACCGTTTAATCACACTTACGCCAGCAGCTGATAGCGTCCAGTAGCCAGTACATGCCTTCCTAATGGGCGGCATCGGCTGCTTATATAATTTCCATGTGAATCCTTCGCTCTCGGGCTTCTCCTGCTCGCGTTTTTCTGTCACCGCAATTCTCCCGCCGCAGGTGGCGGGGTTGTAAGCAAAAGTTCCTGAAATTGAGCATTTTTCTATTGGTTAGGATTTTGGATAAATTACGTATTCGCGGGTAGGCACTTTGTCAAGTTCACATTCAAGCAAATCTTGGGTGCGTGATCCTAGCATTAATTACTAAACACTGCGATACTCTATCGTCCAGCTTACGGGTTGAATGATTGTATGTACTACAAACTGAACCTCACAGTCTTAAGCTGTGTGTACCCTTCAATGCCCTCGTATCCCAAGTCTTTGCCGTTTCCACTCTGCCCGTATCCTCCAAATGGAAGAGCATGTGAGATCATATTGTAGTTGTTTACCCAAACCGAACCAGCTTGAAGCATCTTCGATAAGCGGATGCCTCGTTTCATATCCGAAGTGAAGACTGCAGCGGCCAGGCCATAAATGGTGTCATGTGCTTTTTCCAAAACATCATCAATATCCTTGAAGGGGGCCACAGCAACGACAGGGCCGAAAACCTCCTGTTGCATGATTTCCGCTGATGGTTTGACATCACGGAAGATTGTGGGCTCAATAAACCAGCCCTCGGGGCTGGTGCCGCCAGTGACAACTCCAACGCCATCTGCCTTCGCTCTTTGAATCATACCCATGATTTTGGAGTGCTGCTTGCCATCAATCTGCGGGCCAAGAAAATTGTCCTCGTGAAACGGGTCTCCCAATTTATTCTGTCGAGCCCGGGCGGCAAATCGCTTGAGAAAGTCTTCGTATATAGACTCCTGGACGTAGACACGGCTACTGGCGCAACAGTTCTGCCTGCGAAGTAGGGAAGTTAGCTTATTACTTTCATGAGCATGATTCTGTACATGCATACCCCATATTGTAAAAGATACCGCCATTCACTGCCTCGACGACTTGGTCCAGATCGGCGTCATCGAAAACGATGCTTGGGGACTTTCCTCCAAGCTCCAAAGTAACCTTTTTCAGATTGGTATCGGCAGACGTTTTCAGTATCGCCTTACCAACGGGCGTGCTGCCGGTAAACGATATCTTCTTGACGTCCGGATGCTCCGTCAATGCTTGCCCAGCTTCATTGCCAAGGCCCGTGACCACGTTGACGGTGCCCGGAGGGAAGCCAGCTTCAACCACAAGCTTTGCCAAATACAACGCAGAAAGTGAAGTGAGCTCTGCAGGTTTAATAACCACGGTATTGCCTGCGGCTAGGGCAGGCCCAAGCTTCCAGCATGTAATAAGAAGAGGAAAATTCCACTGGGCTCTCAGTCAGGACTACCCCGAAATAATACACGAAACGGAAAGCGGCAAATAATCGCGGTAAGCTGTACTGACCGGAATAATTAATCCACAGACACCCACGGGTTCTCTTATAGTTATGTTCAAAGTGTCCGGATCGGTCTCGATGGTATCTCCCTTAATTTTGTCCGCCCTAAAACACAGTTAGAAGAAGTAAGCAGGATAGGAGGAGCGAAAAGCGTACCACCCGGAGTAGTATCTAATGCAAGCAGATGAAGCGAGAACGTCGGCGCCCTTGGCAATGTGTACGGGCTTGCCACCGTCGATCGACTAGAGCCCAATGATTGATTAGCAGGCAGCTTCTATATGGTATTGGGTTGCGAAACTAACCTCGATTTTGGCCAAAATTTCAACGTCTCGCTCTATTAAGTCTGCTAGTTTGCTAAGTAGTTTACCTCTATCTTGAGGTGATGTGTCACGCCAGCCACCGAAGGCAGCCTTAGCAGCGGCAACAGCAGCATTGACATCTGCAAGCTTTCCTCGAGCAATAGATGCAATGGGCAACTGGGTATAGGGATTGATAGACTCGATCACTGTCTTATCACCAGACTGTCTAAATTCATTTCCAATGAATATGCCTGTTGGTTGCTCGTAAGTAGTGCCGTCAGGCAGTTTTACTTGAGCGTATGTCTGAGAGTTCATATCTGTTGTACGACGGAGACACTTCTAACTCCTGTCACTGGAATAGAGATGATGATAATTAGACAGTACTATCAAACAGGGGAACATATAGGTCACAAACGGCGTTTCTTCTTTAGTCTGTTAAATTATCTCCCGCCTAGCTGTCGGCGACGCTGGTCCGCATCCCGAGGATCAGAGTATCATGGCAAACGGACATCCACCGCCGCCCTCCACAAATACCCAACGAGGAGACCCCCCAGAGCATAAGTCACCTTACATCTTTTCCAGTGAAGCAAATGACCTCATCCCACCTTGCTTATTGATCTACTAGATTACAATTAGATAGCCTCCTACTGACCAATAGCCAGCGATAGGGGCGCCTAGTATGTTTGCCTCGACATCTTTCGACAGACGTGCTGATAACTGTTGCAAAGATTAAGACTACCCGTGAATTTGAACCTATTAATCAAAGCCTTGGTTCATATCCTTTCATTTTAAATATGACAGTCTTTGCAACCCATCCAAATACACTTATTACAGGTCCTGGCTTGCATAAACACTAGCATGTGTCCCCCCCGACTTAAGATTCACACATATTTGGGTCAGGCACCTGTAGTAATGGGCTTACTTGAGCTTTATTCAAGGAATACATCAGCGTCTAAGCCTCAGAAAGGAGGTGTTCTATTTTGATCTAGCTTATTATCTAATTTAAATAGGGGACTGGAACGTTCTGGGCTCTTCCTCCTCCTTCACACTCGTGGGGGCTGTGGGAAGCTCGAGGCCAGCCTTACGCTCCCAAAGCTTCAGGCACTCAGTGTAGTCGGCACTCTTTTCAACATTGGGCTCATCCCAGGCCTCCTTGAATAAGCCATGCATGTGCTTGGCCAGCGTGGTGTCGATGCCCATAGAAGTACAGAGGTCCAGGTTAATGCCCAAATCTTTAACCAGCAGGCCCAGCCCATAACCACTGGCGTAGGTTCTGGTGAGGCCTTCTGCTCGGATAGAGTGGGCGGTGCCATAATTACGTCCAGTCCCCACGTTGAGGACGTCGGTGATTTGAACGGGATCGAGTCCCATCTTACGTCCCACAATGAAGGCATCGTTCAACGCGGCAATGCCAGCAGCGGTGACATAGTTGTTGAACGTCTTCATGACATGGCCGCTTCCCAGAGGCCCCATGACGAAGCGCCAACGAGACATGGTCTTCAGGACAGGTAGCGCGCGGTCAATATCCTCTTGAGCACCGCCAATCATGAATGTGGCTTCACCATCATTGATACCGTGCATACGCACTTGCGTCACCGGGGAGTCGATTAGTCGCACTTTATACTGGTCAAGGTCCTTGCCCAACTGCTTCGTGCCAAACGGATCGGACGATGAAGTGTCGACAACAATAGCACCTAGCTTGTATCAGTTATGATGCGCTAATCAACTACAGGGAGAAACCCAAAGGTCACCAGAGGTTAAATCTTACCTGGCTTCAGGTGAGGGGCGATGCCCTTATCACCAAGCAAGATGTCGCGGACGATATGGCCGTTTGGCACCATTGTGATAATGATGTCTGCGTCTTTGAATGCGTCTGGCCCATCACCGGCAGATTCTACAGGCAGACTAGCGTTTTCCTTGACAAATTGCTCCTGGCGCTCTTTGTTGGCGTCGCGAACAATCGTCTTGTAACCCTTCTGGGCCACATTCTGTGCCAATGGGCCACCAGCGAGGCCGAGACCAATGTAGCCGACAATTTGAATTACTGATTGAGACATGGCTTTAATGCGAGATGAATGAAATCTAGTATTAATGAACAATGAAAGAGAATGCTGCTTAGCTATACTTCAATACGAGACCGAGAGGCTAGATATACTGTACTTCATATACAAATAAGTTATATTTCCTTCCATGCAAAAACCTTGCATTATATTGGCCAGGTAGGCGCATGTCCGCTTCCCTTGTCAGTCCAAGACGACCATTTGGAATTCTCCACTTATGTGAGCTCTACCCCCATCGAGAAAGGTCGGCCACAAGACCAAGGAACGGACTTCCATCACCGCCCTCCTCCACCCAGACTCCACCACCGTAATACAGATCCTGACTCGCTATCTAGTATCCGGCTCTGATTGGCCATGTCGCTCCAGGGCTTTCTTCACCCACGGTAGCGGCCTTCCACCACCGCCCTTCTCTTCATCATGAACTGACTCTGATCAGTTACCCCAGATGCGTGATGAAACCCGGGGTAAACCCAACATCGATATCACGCCCAAGATAGTTGGCAATCTACTTTCCAACAGGGGGGTCTAGGCCGAATTGGCAAGGATCTAGACTCAGCTTAAGTCTATGACTTTGACATAAAAGTTCGCCTTCTCGTTTCCAAAACCACCCAGCGCCTTGCAACTCATTCATTCAACTACCACTAGACTTTGCAACCTCAGATATACTTGTTCACAATGTCTTCAAACCCAGCAAACGAACATGTCGACCATGAACTGCCTTCGAAACAAGACCTGGAGGCAACCATAGCCGACCCTCAGCTCGAGGACGCGTCCACCATCGTCATACCGGATCGACAGCTGGAGAAGAAGGTCGTTCAGAAGCTCGACTTGCGCCTGGCTCCCATGTTCGCCGTTCTCTACTTCATCGCCTATCTCGACCGAAGCAATATTGGAAACGCCGCCATCGTGGGCTTGACCGAAGACCTGAAGCTGACTGGCGCGCAGTTCAGCACTGCCGTCAGCGTTTTCTTTGCAACCTATGTGGCGTTTGAGATCCCGGTCGTTCTAGCGATGAAGAAGTTGAAGCCGAGCAGAGCCATAACCATGATGGTCATCGGTTGGTCGACAATCACGATCGGAACTGCCTTTGTCAAGAACTACGGGGAGCTCGTCGCGGTCCGTCTTCTTCTCGGCTTGTGCGAGGCTGGTTTCTTCCCTAGTCTGAGTTTGTACATCACGATGGTCTACAAGAGAGAAGAACAGGTATGTGAAATTCCACCAACTTCTCATCTGACGGTAGGCTGACAGTATACAGGGTCGCCGGATGGCGTACCTCTTCGGATCTGTCGCCCTGGCTGGCATGTTTGGCGGCCTGCTCGCCACTGGTATCACCAAGATCGGTCATGCTCATGGGCTGAACGCCTGGAGGTAAGAAGCATCCACGCAAGACAGTTTACAATAAGCCTTTGATTATTCTAACTCCCAGAATAGTTGGCTGTATATTATCGAAGGTTGCATTTCGTTTATCGCAGCTGCCTGGGTGTTTTGGGGACTGCCTAACGACCCATCCCGGGCCAAATTCTGGAAGCCGGAAGAGAAAGCGGTTATGCTTGCTCGAGACCGCCAACGCCTTGAGTACCTGGGGAATCTGAATTTCGAATGGTCTGAGGTTGGTCGAGCGCTCAAGGACCCCAAGGTCTGGTTGTGGTACGTCCATTTTCATTATCCAGTCCAAGTACCATTAAACTCATCTATTGCTTCTAGTGCTTTTATCCAATTCTTCCAGGACATCGTGCTCTATGGCTTCAGCACTTTCTTGCCGTCTATTCTTAAGCTCGATCTTGGATTCAGCGCAATGGAAGCTCAATACCTGAGTGTCCCTGTCTACTTTCTCGGTGGAGTTGTATTTTTTGTGAGTCGTCCTCTTGGTGATACGATCTAATAGTTCGGGATCTGACTTTTTCGCAGGCCGCTGCAATTTTAGGAGACAAGTATAAACTCCGTGGCACAGTAAGTAGCGATCACCCGCTTCAACTCGCTGGAATAATCGAATGCCTTTACTCTTGCTAACTCGAGGTAGTTCCTTGGAATACTTGACATTTTCGCTGTTATTGGCTATGCGATTCTTCTCGGTGTCTCCAACAGCCCTGGTGCTCGATACTTCGCATGCTTCCTCATCGCAATCCCCCTATATTGCGGACCCGGTTTGAACGAGATCTGTAAGTGTACAACGTATAGAGTGAAGTGAAGGAAGTCTATACTAATAACCCCCAGGGATCAACAATAACATGGCCCCCCATTACCGCCGAGCTACCGCTATTGGTCTGCAGCAAACCGTGGGGAATATTGCTGGTGTTGTTGCACCACAAGTATATCGAACTGCGCCGTATCAGCTGGGACACTGGTGCTCTCTCGGTTCCTCAATCATCTGCATTATTCTCATTACGGTCCAGATTCTTTATCTTAGAGCTCTTAACCGAAAGAAGGAACAGATTGTCAGCGGCGAGCGCGAGGACGATAGAAAGGAGACCACTGGTGAAGGAGCGCTTGATTTCCGCTATGTCTATTAATTGATCGAGAACCTGCTGTTTCTGACGGAAATACTCGGGGGGTTTCTATTCTCTAGCTTATATGCTGCTCTATTTGAATCAAATACCTATTGCTATTGGAGCAGAGGGTTTATCCTTTTCTGATCCCCATCACCCCTCACAAAGCACAATCTAGGCCCTTAGGCTGATTCTTCCGTTATTCCAAAAAGATCTATCGCCAGTGAGATTCATATAGTTTAAGCATGAGGTCATAAACCGTCCCCACTAGATCAACCAAACGAGATTAATATTCTACTGTTCAAGCTCACGTTTGTGTAATGTCGCCGAATACATATGACAAGAGGAAATAGAATTTCAAGGGCAAGATTGTTTTTTTCCATCACAAGGGTACGTAAATCAAGGATTATGAAGCCGATTCTCCGATAACTTGAACCGCACGTACCGGTGATACTAGGGAGGAAGTCATGTTGGTGACGAATCATGTAAAGTATTATGGATTTCTTTTATTTCATTTTACTTTCCACGTCATTTCAAAACTTGCGAACCGTTTCAACATCTAGGGTATCCAACAGAATCATGTGACCAGGCGAATGGGCCATCACCACGCCCTCGAGATTGGCTCGCATCACAGCCTCTTGCGGAGTGACACCGCAGCCCCAGAAGACAGGTACTTCTGCCTCATTGTTCTTAAAGTTACTTAGCGGCTGTCCATCAATTGTCGCGAGAGGCGCATCTCCCCATTGTGGCGAATCGATATCCCGGATGCCGAGTCGCTCCAAGGCTTCCCATCCCCAAGCCACCGGCTCGCCGTGCGTGGAGGCAAAAGGCCGGGTGATGCTTCGCACTCGCTCGACCTCGGACGCCGGGTATGATCGCATAGAGACAACATATGTGCTATTCTGGAATACTCCAGCCGCACAGAGCGGTAGAGTAGTGCGATACATGGGCACGTTGCGGCCTCTGACCGTGTGAGGGGGCGTTAGACCGGCATCAGCCAAAGCAGTCTCAAAGCTGAAAGAGCATCCAATGAGGAAGGCCACATGATCATCTGTCCACTCTGTGACAATATCCTCGCAATCTTGTCTATGGAGTTTTCCATCCACATATACATTATATTTAGGCGCATCGCGCCGGATGTCCAGGCCTTTCGCCAGTGTTTCATCATCGATGCCTGGTAAGTGTGACTTGATCTTGCCCCAATGCCCGGCAGTAGCTGACTCGGCAACCAAGGGACAGGGTACCGTATTTCTTGCGCAAAGAAGTCGAAAGTCTGAAGCATAGCGAGATGGCAAGACTATCAAATTAGTCTGGACATAGCCGGGAGCAAGGCCCGAGGTATTTCCACATTTGTTGGAACGTGACAAGAGGCGGACATCTTGACCAGTCTTCAAGAATCCTGCGTTGTTTCCGTTGGCAGCGGGCATTGCGCTCTGCTGCAAAGGTGGGCTAATATATTAGGATTGGAAGTGATTACAACTTGAAGTATCAAATCTAGCGCCGAAAGACAATGATTGAAAAGAGGACGGGGGTCTAATGAACCATATCGTAATTCCTAAGAGTAAAATTGATATGATATAGCCTCCACGACACCACACCGATCAGCCAACCCCATTTCGTAGACCGGATATGAAGATAATCGCGGCTGCGGTGTTCCACCACCGCGATTGCGGGGAGGTGGAGACAGACGGACACACACTACAGGGACTAACACATGATGCTTGCACGGAAGTCCAGCGTCGCGATGAGTTCTGGATTGAACACAATCCAACTAATGCATTGGACATGGCTCTTTCTCTTGTCGGAGGTCCGCGGCCGTCAAGGCATGGAACGACGGAAAGGTCTCTAGCTGTGACATAACCATAACAGAACCAAGTCTTTGGAAATGGTGTGGGGAGACATCAAGAAGCTGCAAGTCCTTAAAACTCACCAATTAAGCATCCGTTCAATGAACATGATTGCAAGTCAACAAGTGATGGCAATTTCAATCAATCAGGGGGGACATTAACAGACGCTCACGCATCAGTCACTGGATAGGCGACACTGTTCTCAAGATTTCATCAGTAGACTCATTCCAAATATTCGAGTGAGCCCGCAGAACGTATTTGGCGCATCCTTGAGATCGTTACCGGCAACAAGATCCCTCGAGTTTAACCACCCGACTTGAGCCCCATTGAGCGATGCGTATCGGACATTTGGAGAGAAAGGGGCCCGATCCGCCCAGTTGGTTATCCCCAGCTTTTCAGATGCACAGTGGTTCAATCGAAATGGCTAGCCTAGTGTAATTCTTTAAGTCTTTATCAGTTCAAGTGGATCAATATGCACACGAGTCAGTGACTAATGGCATGTGGCACTTTTATCCGGAGCCCTCCACAACCATTGATCCATTCCTCCTCACTTCATGATCAAGCAGGGTTCTGACCTTGATTCTATCAATTTCCAGGCCTTCCACATCATGGATCAAAGTCCGGTAGAAAGCTCCAAGACAGCCATTGGAGAGGCAACAACTGTCTCGTGAGTGCCCTTCATGTCCACCATATCTCGACCATCCACCGTTAACACCACGTCAGATGTGTCCGTTGCCGGAGGCGCAAGGTAATTACTAACCAGCATATCCAATTACGATCTGTACCCGAGCTGACAACGATTGGTGCATCAGATAAAATGCGATCGCAGACAACCATGCGCACGATGTGTCAAGGCGGGCACTGAATGCACCCGCGCGGGGACAGGAGAGAAACAGAGGCCGATATCACGGAGATATGTGCAGGCCTTGGAGAATCAAGTAGCGTCTCTTGAGATCTTCATAAAGAAAATCGCCATCGCAGATGCCGAGCAGCGAGACCACATGCTGGCCGCCTTCCAGCCTGCCAGTACAAATGCCGCGCCTCAGGATTCCCTCAGCACCACCTCGACACAGGAAGTCAGAACGCCAGAAGACGCCGCCGAGCATTCCGAAGCAAGTCTTGCGCGCTCATCCGCCGGCCAGATGAGAAAGCGCATCTCGAGCAGCGCGGCCTGTTTCTACGGCGGCACAAGCCTGTTTCAGATTCACCTGTCGGGAGAATACCTGGCCCCAACGGGCGATCCGATCAGCGAAGAGTCACCAAGTCCCTCGAATCCTGATTCATCAAGCCATCACATGGGCCCCGTGATGACTCGAACCCCGTTTCCTTTCGCTCCCCACGATGATGTCTGTCAGCGGCTCATGGCAACCTTCTTCAAACAACAGTATCAGTACAACATGTGCATATATCGCGAGTACTTTCTTCGAGACTATGACTGCGGTATCGGGCGTTATTAGTCTGACCTACTCCTATACGCCATCTGCGCCATGGGCGCATTGGCTTCCAGCGAGCCTTCCGATCGTGGTCTTTCCGAGATATTCGCAACACAGGCTCAGTCTCTCCTGTTCCCGTCCTTTGACCAGCCCGACCTCACTGTTCTGCAAGCCCTTGTCCTCCTTGGGCAGCGCGAGATTGGCCACTGTCGACCATCCAAAGGTTGGCTCTTTTGCGGCATCGCTTTTCGACTGGCTCATGAAATGGGTCTTCATCTTGATCCGAATAACTGGAGTGGCTCTGCCGAATCAGAGGTGGACCGCGAGATACTTCGACGAGTCTACTGGGCTACGTTCATCGCCGACAAGAACCTCAGTTTGTACTTTGGTCGGCCTCCAGCCCTCTACCCTCACGAGTCTGATGTCCGAAACACCGTTCGCCTGCCGTACCCAACAGATTGGGAGGGACTGCTGGACACGTACATCGCTCCGGGTATATCCATCACCGCATATGAAGACGGGATTGCACTCGTGGGGGCCTTTATCTACAGGGCGGAGTTATCCAAGATTCAGCATTGTATCATCACAGATCTATTCGAGAATCGACGGCCAGGAGCTCACAACGCGGCTATCGCTGCCACGGTTCAGCGCATCCATACCGATCTAACTAAATGGCTTTCAAGTCTGCCTGGTAAACTGTATTGGAATCAGTGGACGGTCGGCCATGTTCCCGCATGCGTGCTGTATCTCCAGTAAGCCTCTATACCGCTTCGAATATGCTTCCTCTAACAAATTGAAAGCATGCAGTTCCATACCTCGATGATAATTCTACACCGCCCGCCTCGCCATTCATTCAATACCCCCGACATTTCCTCAAGCGAAGATGTGGAGATATGCTACGAGTCTCTGCAGGCTATCTTACGATTAATGCGCAGCTATTCCCGCCTGTATCGCTACGAAGAGCTTCCCCTCGACTTCGTACATACGCTCTCTGTAGCGGCAAGCACGGTCCTCATGCGACGCTGGCTCGATAAAGATATGCATCAGATGGAGAAGGAAATGAACCTGATAGTCCAGGCCATGCAGGCCATCAAAGAAACATGGCCGTGCGTGGAGGAAATTGAGAAGAGTGTCTGCAAGATCGAGAAGTGCGAGAAACCTGCAGATAACGTGCCAGAGATCGACGCCATGCTTGACGCGGGCTTCATGGCCGGGCTCTCCACACCATATGAAGGGGAGAATTGGTCGATGCCAGATGAATACACTCAGGACATGTTTGATGTCACGCTTGGCCCGGTGTTGACGGATGGGATCCTTGGTGGTGTTCGGGAGGATGCAGGGCAGTTGATGGTAGATATCTTTCCTCCTACTTTGGAGAAGGGCGAATAGAGATTCTGCAGTACAACTTAAGGGAACATTCCATCTTTTACCATTTCAATTTCTCCCATTAATTATTATAATTTCACACTCGGGCTTGTTATTGACTGGGTTCATGTCGACTGGGAGAATACTGCTGAATTGACGGTCAGATGAATAACCGTGCGCATACACTCAATGCTGTGTCTCCTTCTTCGCGGTTCAACCTCGCTGTACCAACGCTTTCATTTGATAGTAAGAACACAAATTGATTCTTGATAATATTTCATATGACCAACTTGAGATTCAAAGGCGCAGCAATAGAAGGGCCTCGTTGTTGTTGCGTAGTCGATCGAGCGCCAGTTGCAGCCTTTTTACACATCCTCGATGTCCTTGGCGCCTAGCACGCTCCGTTGCACTTTTAATCTCATCTTCACCAAAACCCGATGCCCCCTCGGTGAGTAGTGTGTTAATAATACTCAATCTTCCGTGTTCGGCTGCTCCTTCGAGGGCCGTTCGCCCAAAGAAAGCAGCCTTCGGCCCATGAATATCAGCCCCTCCGTCGAGCAGTAATCTGACTATTCTCTGGCTACCCTTGATAGCGGCAAGTTGAAGAGCTGTAGCGCCGCCTCTAAATGCTGGAAGGGCATTGACATCTGCGCCCTTGTCGAGGAGAAACTTAATGATCTCAAAATCACCCTCCTCGCAAGCCTGCTGTAAAGGCGTTCTTGTAAGCCCTTGCTCTGCCGGTCGGTTGACATTAACACCCCTATCCAATAACAGCCTCACGGTCTGCATTCTTCCCGTTGTGATAGCACAAAGAAGCGCTGTCGAGCCTTTGCTGACATTCTCGGGGCCAGCACCAGCCTCAAGCAGCAACGTTATGATATCCTCCCGCTCTGAATCAGTTCGCCTCGCCGAAGAACATTTGCAGCCTTCTGGGTGCCATTCGTTAAAACATCCGAAACAAATGTTCTGAAAATTATGTAGTCCAATGGCAAATTGCAGAATATTTGCGTCCGGAAAATGTTTGCTGTGGTCTTCTTCGGTGTTGTTACTGTTCACATCGAAGTTAAGGAGTAGTAAGCGTTTGAATACAAACGTGTCGCAGCAAATCATAGCCGTTACGAGGGCTCGGAAACCGAAACCTCTTTTTCCATTCGGATATCGTGATGCAAAAGCTTCGGAAAGCGTACTTAAAAACGTCGCAACGTCACAAAGTAGTGCAGCACAAAATGCGCCCTCGTCCGCGGGATCAGCGCCATACCGAAGTAGCAAACACATCATATCATGTTGTGCACACTCGACCGTCTGTTTGAGTCCTACGGGGGCAACCCCGCGGTCAAGCAACAGTTTCAAGATGCTATGTTGTCCGTTTGAAATTGTTTTTTCAACCCCCGAGGGCTTTCCGCCTTGGTCTAGTAAAAGCCGCACCATGTTCTCGTCTCCAATTCCGACGGCGAAGGGAATGTGCTCAGACGGATCTGCTCCCCAGTCCAACAGCCGGTTCACTAGCTCTACATTACGAGCCGCCATGGCTTCACCAAGAGCTGACACCGAGGGCACTCTTCTATTCCGCGAGTAAAAGTCCACTCTTTCATCGCTCGGATTGAACGGTCGTAAGCTTTCTGGTTTGAAGAAGCCCCAGTTATACATGCATTCGATGACTGCCCTGTCTCCCCATCTCACAGCTTCTAGAACAGCTTGATTTCTCGCCCACAGATCCACAGATCCACACTCGAGAAGGAAGAAGACTATTTCGTAAGCACGCCTCTTCAGAGCTAGCCATAAGTTTTTATGCTTTTCTCTATAAGGAATACGCTTATGGCTCATGAACAAGATCTTGGTCATCTCAAGATTTCCTGCGCATATGGCCTCCTCAATCGGGGCTTCAAGATCAGAAAGGTAACGAGTACCGCGTTGACGAAGAAGATTTTTCAGGCGCGGAACATCCCCTACTCTGACAGCAGCCACAAGAGCAGCTGCTAAGTGGCCCGATTTCCCATCTCGTACTCTATCCAGCGCTCCGCATTCTTCAAGTATGCTGATGAGGTGTTGGTTCCGCCATAGGATCGCTTCGGCTAACGGGGTGGCTGGCCGGCAGTGTCCTTCTGTGTCGTCCATCCGGTGCACACAGCCATGGCAGTGATAGTCAGAAGTTAAGTCCTCAGAACATCTCGCACAGCCACCGAAGTCGATGCTTTTACTCAAAAACGCCTGAATCATTACAAAATTTTTGGCGCGAATAGCTGCGGTAAGCGACCCGACTGTTGGATGAAGGTGGTCTAAGAGGGAACTCGCAAGTTCAAAATTGCCGTTTGTAATGGCGGGTATTAGAATTTTGTCGAATGTACGAGAATATGTGCTCTTGCAAGTGTCTGAGCAGCCCATCGATTGGCAGGTTTTCAAGAGATCGAAGAAAAGCGACTCAGCCCAAGCATTTTCCCTGATCAGCGTGGCGAAATACCCAGCTCCCAGCTCCCTCAATTCCAACAGTTCCCAATGTGATTTTTTGAATACGGTATGGATCAATGATTCGAGCATGCTGCCGGTGGCAAGATCGCGTTGTAAAACTGTTCTCAGCGTTTCAAGATCTGGACTCGCACCATTTACTAGGAAAAGTTCAATGATCTGATATATCGCGTCCTTTTTCTCACTTCGGCGTACATCATAGGATAGGTGCCAGCTTTCAATAACCGCATTGAGTTCACCGACGTCAATCTTAGCGCCGAAGCTCACCAACTTTCGAACCAGCCCTGGGTGGCACATTCTGGCTGCTAATCCAAGAGGAGTGCACTTCTCGCAATAGAAGTCATAGACGGTAGAATTTAGGTCGATTTTGTTTATGTTCCCCTTTGTCGTTTCCAGGATAATAGCTACGATGTCTTCGTCGCCTGCACGAAGCGCAGAACGAAAGGCACAATCGGCGAGTGCTGTTGCAAAGCCAACATTATTTGACCTGAGGCCTACCAGGAGGCTTTCCCTCACATTCTCATCGGCCTTGAGTAGCCTAAAAAGAAGACAAATCGGAAACTCGTCGAGGCCAGCAAGATTGTTGACGAAACATGATGTAATGATTCGGGGGAGTTGAGAGACACCTTGAGATCTATGGGGCATCATGTCTGAGATGCAACCAAAGGGGTTACTAGAGTCCTCAGCCAAAAGATTCTCTAACGTAATCGCTATCATTTGAGCAGTGATGTCCCCAAGATCGTTTTCACTTTGGTCAATATCTAAGATGATTCTATCAAATATCGAATCAACGTAGGGCTTAAAAAGTAATCTCCTGGGCCTAGTTAGGTCCGGGCTTCTAGTTCGCTCGTTGACATGTGTTACGCTTCGTGTCGGGGGTGCCAGGGCAAATATTTCGAGCAAACTACCCGGATCATTGGCCCACCACGGCTGTTGAATAACAGGGCTGAAATAAATGCCCTCGTCGCCACGGTCAATCTCTAGGGGTGATATATTAGGTCGAAATGCATCGAACCCAGGGCTGAGTGTGGCAAGGCTAAAAAGGTTGCCCGATGCTAATGTCGGATCGTCTTGCAGCGCTTGAAACTGGGCGTTACGGTTAATGCTCGTCGGTTGTACTGGACCTGTCAAACTCAAAGTCGCCTCAGCATTGAACATCTCATCGAACTCCGAGTACTCCAGACCCTCGCCAATGAGCTGGTGAACCTCTAATTGCAGATGATTGTTCGTTGTATCGGACTCAGGGACAATGGTGGCAAGGTTGAAACGGCTGCCTGATGCCAGTGTCTGGCCGCCTTGTATGGCTTGACCCTGGTGGTTGGGGTAAGCGGTAGCTGGCTGTATTGGAGCTGCCGAGCTTGGGATCTCTTCAGCATTGGATGTGGCATCAAACTCCGAATACTGAACATACTCGCCACTGTGTTGGCGAACATCTAGCTTGAGAAGGTTGTTCTGTGCAAGAGACATTCTAGGCGCTGTAAACAACCATAAGCGATCAGAACTATCCCATGTACAGTTCCGACTTACTTATAGAAGCGATTGGCATTGGCTCCGATTGTCCAAAGTAGCGTCGTTGCGCTTTAATCACCCTTCTTTCGTCCAGGACAGTCTCTCCAAGCCTGATTCGAGGACTGAGATGCTGTTGCTTTAGATGATTGTAGATGGGGAGGATTGATTTCCAATCACTCTGCTTCATATGTTTCGCAGCGCCCCATCTTTTCAATTGCTGCTCATATTGTGACTGACTGTACCCTTGTTAGTAACTTCGTAGGACCGAACGGTACAGAATAAACCTGGTGTAATGCCAATCAAGGTTCACACACTCTAACATACGTTGCTTCAAATTGATGGCCATCGCGCATCACTTGCATCACCGTCCCACCGCCATTCTTATTGTTCGATAGAGGAAGGCCTTCAGTGAATCGTAGGTGCAGAATTGTCTCTCTCTGCGCTTCCCAGACTGTTTGGGATATGGTTCTGGATGAGCTCGCCATAGTCTTAGTACGTCGTTAGACGATGGTGAAAGTGTCTTGGAAAAAGAATTTGAAGAGTTGATCTACTATGATACGACGAGGTCGAAGAACTAGGTAGAGGCCGCGCTGGTGAGCATTATCTTGTTCCAAGTCGCCGGGCTGCTTCTTATTAGCACATCAGACTTTGGTCATTCCAGATTTTGGTTCTGGGTGCCTTTCGGTCGCCTTCTCCAAGATTTTGGTCACCCCAGATTTTGGCCGCTCCACAGTAAGCTTTGTGCCCAACAGCCCAATCTCAAGAGCCAATCGGAGCCGTCTGCAGTTTCAACCAATACCATCTCCTGAACAAGGTGAGTACCTGTGAAGAGTTCAGTAGAAAAGTAGAGTCATGGGGGCAATCGGTCCGCAAAGAGTTCAGGTGCAGCGTAGGAGGATTGAGACTGCAAGATGGCACGTTACCTCACATTGAAAATTGTGTAATTAAAGCTTCACGAGACGGCATACTTGAACGTATCTAGACGGTGATAGACAATTGATTATACACAGGACACAATGAAAAGGCCAGGGCTTAGATTGTGGCTTCGGGGTTCATCCAATGTGTTGTGGTTTGACCAGACACTCCACAGGGTTTGGTTTTGCCCTACTCCATACCTGGACATATCCTGTCTAGATTTGTTTAGCTATTTATCATCCGTTGTACAGTACTACATGTCGCTAGGTCTGTGTGGCTGCGGATTGATTGAAGATGAAGAAGAATCTTATCGGGCTTGCCGACGATAGAAGCATTCTATGCTATTGTTCAAGAAGAAGAAAAAAAGATCATACCGCCTTTCCTGTCCTAATGCGCCGATTCCTCCAACGAGTCTCCCAGTGTTCTTCAGCGAGTATAACTCTCACGAAGGTATACAGAGCGGTGCCTTATCTGCTTTTCAGCCAAATGCCAAATCAGCTTCTCTGGTCATGACTAGTAGCAGAACGGTCGGTCATCTATCTTCGCCATGCTCTAACACGCTGTGAGACTCGTTTATTTCGGTTAATCAATATAATCGTCGTAAAATCGTCACTGTGGCAGTCGTGTAATACGCTCAACTCTCCATGATCACGATGGGAGCCGTGCGGTTAACTCGACACTGGTCCTCGGTAAGGGATTGAGCCATCGTCCACAGGTTATTTCCAGGCAGTCAAGAAAGTCTTGAGCTAGGATATAGAGAGAAAAAAGGTCGTATCAATTGAAAGTCGTTCATCGGGTGTCTGATGTCTCGACACTCGACAAGGTATATAACGATTCGTTGAGTGTTTCCGCCGTGGACGAATAGCTCGGGGGTCTTTGGGTCCTCGTCGCGATAATCGAATGATACTCGATCTCCTCCTCGGTCATTTTGACGGGCTCTTCAAGCTTGTACGCTGGCAGTGGCTCTTGGATCGGGCTCTCCTCCGATACCAGCACGACCCGAGGTGCGTTTGGTGCTGTCGAGGCTACCGGTGGAGGAGTAGCTGTGACTGGCGAGGCGAATCTCCTCCTTTCGATGATGGCCCGGATTACCGTGAAGAGGATGCTCACGCCGAAGAGGATACCGAACGCTACGCCAGCGACCATCCCCGGGTTGATCTTGTAGCCATCGTCACTAGTGTCTCTAGTGTGCACTTTGATCCCAAGAATATCGACTGGGGCGGCGGACGCTAACGACGGGAGGAGGAGTGCCAAGTATATCGCCATTAGCGATTGATGGGGGAAAGACGGGCGAATGTGGAGGCTCATTTCCGGCTGGTGTGAAAGGAAAAAAGAAGAGAAGAAAAAGAAGACCGCTAGAAGAAGAATGTAGAAAGAAAAAAGTGAAGCCAGTGGAAAAAAGCACACAAGAAGAAGAGAAAATAGGAAATAGAAGAGAAGAGAAAGAGAAAAGGAAACGGTGAACCTTCACAAGAATGTGATGATGTGAAAGAGTCCTGGAATCATCTTCATCGATGGCCACGGGCTACGTCTTCTACTTAGACCACAGACCGACTCTCCAGCAAGTCTGTTTTAGGAAGCCTGAGTCAGGCTCAGCCCCCAGTGACGGTATGGGGAACATACAGACTGTTCATTGGCTTGTCCGTGATAAAAATAAGCTGCAGGATCCATCTTACCAACACCCTGGAAGGTCCTGTTGGCCTGCGCTGCCAAGTTTACCTCGCTGCACGTTTATCTGGCGCACCATCTACTAATATGACACGCTTATTACGCACTCTCCCCCGTGCTTGCCATGAATTGTTTTAGCTATCTGAGACGCAGCGGGTGCAAAGGGGGCTGAAGGATGAGAGGCCTCACCGACCACATGGGCTCCAGCCAGTCGGTACAGTGCCCCAGCTCCTTGGTACCACGGCATGACAATACAAAAGCCCTCCCCAAACATGTTTGCGTCAACACTGCCCCCAATGCCCGAGCCCAGCCGGACGGAGCTGCTGCGGCCTGCCAAGTCGCTGTTTCACGCTCGCCAACGCACATGCTTGCACGCATGCCCACGCACGTGAATTGATTGGCGATCGAGACACTACTGACTCCCCAGAATTGCGTAGAGGGATTCCAGTTAAAGGCCAGGGATCGGGTTCCGGGTGCTTCACATGGTCTCCTTTGGGTTCTGGTAGGGGCTGGACGCTTCACTGACCGCGGGCATTCTACGAACGGGTCGCATCATAATACCCAACTTTCCCATCTAAATGATGATTTTTTCCCTTTGGTTCGATTTGAAAGTAAGCACATGTCCCCGTGAGATGCCATTGTTTTTCTCATGACGTGAGAGTGAGCTACGTGCTCGCAGCATAGTTAGATCTTACGGACAGTCAGCTTGAATCTTCCACCCCCATCCCGCTTCTCTATTCAGCAAATACTACACGTCACACCCGCCGATTCCGTTCTCCATGCCCAGTCACCGATGTCACCGCTTGGGGCCCTCGGCTACCTGGCTCCAAACGCACCCACCCTTACCTTGGGCATTGTAATGTAAGAATAATGATATCAATTCTATTTGCCAGTACGAATCAGGCGCATCACAACAAGCCATAGCGGCGTCGCAGACTCCGTAACAGACCATCAGTTGTTGAGCTAATCTTGCATTGTAGTTAGTTGAAAAAGCTGGATCCCCCTTCTCAAGCTCCCAAGTCTCCATCTCCGCTTTCCAGGCTCTCAGCACTACATTCGAGTGAAGTACAGGTTGCCCCAAGCGGCCCTGTGGTTTTTTTTTTTCTTTTTCTTTTTTTCTATTAGAATATGTTCCATCGCGCCAAGCACACGACGTTGCCTTGTATTACCCGAAGGGTAAATCGCGAAGAAACACTCGATTTCAGACCTGCCCATACTGCTTGACAGTGGGACATTTCGCGTCTCCCACAAACAGCTCGTTGCTTAACTGCCATTAAATTATCCCATAGCTCAAACACAGTAGTAGTGGCCTGTAAGATGTGCGCAGGGGCTGGGCATCGCAAAGGTCTTCACTGTTGCCATTGAAGGCGCAAGCCACCAGAAAATGATAGCGTTCATCTTAGCAGCTTCCTTATAATTGACCTGGCATTCCAGTACACCTAGGGTGACATCAATAGCTTAGAACAATCATTACAGAGCTAAAAGGTGCAATAAATTGATAGGAAAAAGGCAGGTGCTGAATCTATATGTGTGATACCTAACAGACTCGCCCAGGAACAGGCAAATGTATCCTCCATGAGCTCTCATTTACCTATTTCCACGCATCTATTATCATGTGAATCATCACACATCGACGAGCTATCCAATAGACCTGGGAATGGAGAAATGGCCCTCAAGCTCATCCTGGAGCTGCTGCTTCTGAAAAGGGGCAACCGTTAATAGGGCAACTCTTCAAGATTTATGGACGGGACTTGGTGCCATGCCTACTTCGGGGTGATGATATAGAGTTATAGCAAGAATCAACTACCTTTTTCGCGAAATTTATGTCATCAAGCCGTCGTAGAACAAATAGGCCGTCCTCTCGAAAGGTTGTCCGACCCAATGGATATCTTGTCTAGTCCTGGTGGTTTGGGGGCGTCGGAGTATCCGAATCCTCGATTCTGATGGATTCAGGTGTTCCAAGAGACAGTCAGAAGTAAATGGGAGGGTTTGCTTGATCCTTGCCAACAAAGCTAGAAGTGCTCATACATATCGATGCGCTCAGTGGCTTGCACCAAGATAGTTCAAAGTAGCGAAAAGCGAAAACAATTCACAACTTATACAACAAGGTAGAAGGAGAATTCCGCACCACCGCGTTAGTTACCTCAGCCACTCGTGCTTTTTCTAGTATCCTCAAGGTACACTTAATTCGTTCCTCTTCAAGAGAGACGAAGGAGGAAGCGTCTAACGGGACCTCTTAGGCCGAGGATATCTGGTTGGAAGGAACCAAGATCGAACCATGGCTTGTTCGATATGGACGTCCACTTCGAGAACGAACTTAGGCAAGAATCGGAAATTACAGTTTTTCGTTTCAATTCACTGATCCAATAGGTCTGGAAGTCAACTTGATGTATTGAATGCTGATTGTTCCATCAATTACTTGAGAAATCCTCAGATCTCCAAGAAGTTTAGAAGTTTAGCCAACTCCAAACCCTATGTATCCTAGGATCCTCGGACATCCAATACTTCATAGCTAACTCGAAATTATTCATTTCACATGGTCACTAATCAACGTGTTCTTATCTTCAATCATGCTTTTCATTTCAAGTACCGTTTTCGTTTTCGTTTTCAGTCTCACAGGGAACTTCTTCTCCTTGGGAGGCGAAGAAGGTGAAAACAGACAAGGCCTAATTTCAAGGAGCATAGAGAGAGTATGCTGGCATACTTGACTGAGATTAGACTTGGCGTGCAAAGGCGTGATAAGTGTCCGTCCAAGACCTAGCTTGTAAACAATATCCTTCTCTTTTAACTCACCACTATTCATCCTTAAGACGTAAATGTCTTATCCTGACTCAAGAGGATTATTTGACCAAAGTTCCTACAATATGAGGAATCATTTCGTAAGGCGACTCGCCTTGAGGCGGTGCGAGGTCAATCTCCTCCCATTTGCCAAGGCTTCTCAGTGCCTTTGCGGTGTCGCGGCAAAGATGGCAACAGACCATTGGCTTCCAAAATATCTCCGTAAAGCCTATAGATATGTCAGGTTGGGTAGTAGCCCAGGAAACCAGATGTAACTCACTCTGAATGCCGGAGATGAGGGGACTCTCATCATTACGAACATGTTCAAAAACATACCAATGTCCCCCCCTCTTCAGATACTGATACAGCAACGGCAAGTTCTTTTCCGGCTCTGGGATACAACAGAGACCCTGCACTGTGACAATGCAGTCCAGGCTCTCAGGCTCAATCTTTGCCCCCGAAGCAGTCGCGTTGCCAAGGCCCTCCACCCCAATAGGCAGCACGTGATACACTTCTTCGAGACTCGCCGTCTTCACATGCTTTCTTAGTGTAGATGCCAGGAAGCGATTAGGCTCAGATGCATAGATCGTATCAGGGCCAGCGGTGCCATCCTTCTCGGCCTCATCGATGGTCTTCTTATAGAACTGAGTCCACATGCCGACACCCCGACCAATCTCCAGCACGGTGCCGTGGAGGGGCTGGGATACAACCTTCTCTTGGACTTTGCCGTCTTTCAGGCGGCCCTGGAGGAGAGGGATCACATTTGGTGCGGCGGTCTGCTTGGCAAGGGGGCCGACATTGATCCAGAAGACGGCGAACCAGGCGTCGCGAAAGGTGGACCAGGAGGTAAATGCGTGGAGGTCGCCAGCGACGAGGAATTTTATAATGGTGACTGGGAGACTGAGGGCGGACACTGTCATGAGAGCCCAAGGGAAGAGTATCTCGCGAAGCATGACGGGGGGATATGACTGAAGCTGTGAGGGTGGTAGAAGATGGGTGCAGCTAGATGAGTCCCGTGAACTTGTGTTTCGATGATAGTTTTCTCCGTATTCTACTGCAATTCCGAGTCCTGTTGGGAGTATTAGGAATTATGGCAATTGCGAGACATGATTTCACAGAATCAGGAGTTGGCCGCGTGGCCCGGCCTGGGAGAGGGTTAAATGGACTGGAAGCTGGTCATATGCTATCAATTGAGGGTGTCTGGTTTGACTTTGGCCTAACTGAAGTTGCCTTGCTTGTGATCGGTCTAGAACTTGGCTATGTTCAGCTGGGCAATAGTCCTCACTTGCAGTCCAATGGGCGATTTATATATGATTTAGTCTCAACACCATGATCCGTCCAAGCTAAGTTCAGGGTAAGTTGTCCACGGATTGGCCACCAAGTCAAACTAGGCCAAATCTAAAAGCCAGCATTCCGGGATTGTCTTATGTTGGTTGCATGCTGGGTGCCGATAGGGCATCTGATTTCTCTGTCTGTCTGTGCTCGCTTGTGCAGGATCGGCAAGAGGGAATGTCTGGCGTCAGTTTGGCATGTACACTACCCGGTTTGACGGTCCATCAAAATGGACGCGCAGACAGGGCCGTCTCATGGGACATTGCCAGGGCCATAAGCGATCATCGTCAATAGATGGTGATCAACAATAGTTCTTAACGTTCCATGTTGAGGAATGGGATCCCAGATATCTACATTCTTGTTTTGGCATCGATGCTATCCACTGCGAACCGACCCTTGCGTCGCTTCTTCGGTTTGTTTGGATGCAATCAGCAGCGTCAAGATTGAGGTGGATTTGTGCGATTCTGCAGCCAGAATGGGCAGAACAC